CAATCAGCAACTGTCCGTCCGGGCCAAGCGTGTTGGAATTGAGCGGCACACAGGCCACTGTAATAGCCGCGTCTGGCTTCGCGGTAGGGCTGATGCTGTAAATCTTCGCGAGGATGGCGGCGACATCGGAGCGGTTGGTGATGGGGATCTTGAGTGTTGTGCCCGGGAGCACGGCGAGGGGCGACGCGAGCGGGATGAGTGGTAGCACCTTGGTGCTGGTCTTGGAGGAGCCTTTACCCATCATGAGGTGCTAACGATGGGTTGCTGGGTTGATACAAGGAACGTTGGAATCAAAGGGGCGCGATGTCGCGTGGTGACGTGCGGACCCGCTGGGATGCGGAAGGTGCGGACGCCCGAGCGATGTGAGGCTACGACACGTGCAGCGCGAAATAGAGAGATAGAGCACAACAATGCAACCTGAGAGTGAAAGCACGCCAGTCTGCTGCAGTTCCCCGTTGTGTTAACGTAGAGTTAAATCTGATGCGACGCCTATGTGTCCGGCGGAGGAGGCGCGATAGCTTCCAGAAGATGCTCTCACGGGCCAGACCGAGGTTAAACCAGCCGCTGCGAATCACGTTGACCGCGTCGCCATCCCCATCTGATAAGATCATCTCCGCATCTCGGTCGCCGCACGCCCAAACTGGGCAAAGAGTACGGTGAACAGCATGACGTTTAACCCTGCCCCGCATCTTATCTAAAACTTCTTATCCATGAATGGACTGGAATGCAAGATGAGTAACTTGTATGTGCGCAGCCGTTCTACTGCATCTCGTAGCTCAATTCACGTCTTGTCTAAGGTGCGATATTATTTCAACTAATATATTACTTTTACGCCCATGTACCCTACTACTCTACACTGGTACATCGCATCTATGCACAACTCCTCCTCAACCCCTCGTGCATATACAATGAACAACACCCGAAAACGCGTATCGTCACCTGCTTGCGCCAAGCTTAGCATACATCCACCCGTCCAGTCTTGACAAGCTCCATTGGAGATGTGAACGGCTCGCACGTGCTATCCTACCCGCTGTTCGCCAGACAGATGGGCCCATCCTCTAGAAGCCTTCCTCATCGGGGCAATGTTCAAGCTCGACTTCACATAGAGACAAAGAACCGACCGTGCTTCTTTCTGCATGAGCCAGTGGTGGCGGTACTGTCCAAGCAATCTTCACCCTAGTGTTGGGGTGTTCCTGCCGTGGGTAGCCGACGACATGCTGTAAGGGGCCTACCAGTACCATTAGTGACCTAGCCCCTTCGTCGTCGCTCGTGAGTGGCTCACCAAGACTTTCTTAGCATTCAGAATGCGCCAAGCAAGTCGACTGACTGTACCATCTGCCTGGACCACTTCAGGGGCAAATTCTATGCCAAACCTAGACATCATCAGTAATCTCTACAGGGTACGCACCAAGAGAGGAGACGTACATTTGGTGGACTGCAAATACTACCCGTCTCGCAAACTTCCCGTCTCTTTCAACTAGGCTACCAAAAGGCTCCTCGGGAGTAGATGGAGCGATTTCAGGGTCGTGGTCGAAGCAGTTCTGGATAATGGGTAGCAGGGTTTCTTCCACGGCACGTTGGATCGTGCCATTAGAATCCACCTCCACATCGTCCTCATCGAACCTTGGAATACGAATCTCGAAAGCTTGCGAGAGTGCCATTACGTGATGCCGACCGCCGTGGTGATAGCGGAACTCAAAGACACCAGTGGTCCACCAGAGCTTATCTCCGCGGAATTCTACCTCACCAGTGTAGCAATCAGACGATTCTTCGTCGGCGGCATTGGCAGGCAGGAGTTTATCAGAGACGAGAATGCCATCATCAGCTCGAGTCGAGTCAAAGACGTCTGGATTGGTGGCTATCCATCGCCCGTTAGAGCTGATGCGTGTAACGTCTCGGGATTGATTGTCGGCGACCATGTACAAGCCAATCCAGTCCTTCTTGCTGTGGTTGATAGGTGCTTGCCAACGAACTCTGATCGGAGCGCCGTACTCGAGGATGAGTGTCTTGAAGTCATTTGTACGAATCGCTGGGGTTCTTGCAAGTTCTCCTTCTCGACCACCATTCTTTTGTTGCTCTACCGTAGGCGGTGAGCGTGTACCTTCAACCTCGAGCTTGTACTGTTTGGAATCTAGACCAGATGGCTCCGATGAACGACCAGTGACAGGAATACGCGTTGGGTAAGACTTGAAAAGACTCGTTGTGTCCTTGACAAAAGCGTCGACATTGGCAGCCACTTTCGGTCTTGCACTATCCAAGAATTTCTCGATGAACTCCATGGTAGAGTTGAGATATTCATCGGCTGCTGATTGCCACTGGCGAACCGGGTCTGGTAGTGCTTGACGCACGGTTTTGCTGACACCAGACATTTCGCGTAAGTTTTGACCATACAACTACACATATTACAGTCAGTAAAGCTTGGACAGACAGATGGAACAAACTCGACATGTTGGCGATTTTCAGACGTCGTAACAACCTGCATAGGTGCGTGTAGTCGCCAGGCTACTCCAAAACATTTTGCACTCACCTTGATTACATGGGGCTTCTCGACGAACTGGAGAAACACGAGATTGAGAACATGTGCGGTCGTGGCAAGGTAGAAGATGGCCGGGTTCCAGGTGATCAGAGCTACCCCCCAGACACCAGCTAATCCAAGAACTCGCTCAGGATTGTTCAAGAAACGATAGATGCCAGAGTAAGTCAATGACCTTGAGGGTGGATCATAGAAAAAGTCCCCACAAAACCATCCAAACTCGCCAAGTGACTCGTAGATGCTCATGGCAACCCAGAGCTGGAGTACAATCATACCTGCACCAAGAACGTGGCGAAAGAGAGTAAGACCATTCAGGCCATCCGATGGGAGACTGTACATCTTCCATGCCACAGCGACGAAGCTTGCATGGCTCATGGTTGTACTCATATGGTACAGAGATTTCCATTGACGCCAAGCTTCCTCTTTGGTGTCGCCGTACTTGATGAAGTGTTTTGTCCAGTTCTTCTTCTTGGACTGACGATCCAGAATATAGCCCAATCCTAATGCGTACCAAAGCCGCCACCCGAATGCGTTGATGAAGAGGAATGTTCGCACCGGCCAGGTGTTGGGGGTCAGCGTAGCCAAGCAAAACATGTAGAACGAGAGCAATACTACCGTGAGATCAATGGATCGGTGGAAATCCGTATTAAGAGGCCCTACAATGTGGTGCGTTTGGGCAGGTTGGTGCTTGATGGGATCGAAGACTGGCTCGGAGAAGGCCACATCAGACTGGCTAGTTTTGGGTCGATCTTCCATAGCAAGATCCCCAGAATTATGGCGCGTACGGCGGGGTGGTGGGGGGTTGTACAAACGATTTATGTGAGGCTCCTCTACTATCGACAGGAAGGCAAATTGGGCTGCATGGGCGATGATGGAGATTGCTAGGACTTTGTAGCTCGCCATCATGAGGGCAATACCATAATACCCAGCATAGCCTATCGAGTACATTGGGCTTTGGATGGAGGCGGCGCGTTAGTGTCTTCTTCAACCAGAACCATGATGGGGCCTCTTACTGCGGTGCCATCTCAAAGACGCCATCAAACGTCAAACTTTGGTCGATGAGATAGAAGAAATCGCCCCAATACCTAAAAGTGGTGAGCCATGATTCCCAGGCGCTATACAAGTAAGGTGGTTACCAAGCAAAGTCCTTTACAACCCTGTGAGCGTCTAGCTTGACCCACAGGTTGAAAAGGAATAAGACAATACCAGTTGTCCATCGCAGGAGCCACAAGAAAAAGCTCTCCTGGGGGCGGTTGAAGCAGGCGAGGGCGAAAAGGCAGTACGACACGAAATCACACATGAGTATGAGGTCTACGACGCGCCTGAACACAAGCCACGTGTTGTACTCGAGCGGCGCCTCTTCAAACTTATAGTCGTTTGGGATCTTGGTCTCTAATTCCCGCTTCAAAAGCTTGTACAGCGCGGGACGTGGGTTCTTGCCTGATTCAGGCGTCTCGAAGATATGGCTTTGTTTTGCCCACAGGACGAGACGGTTGTGTTTAGACTGGCCATCGAGCAACCAGCCAATGCCAGCATTGTAACAGGCGCGCCAGAAGAGGAAGACGATTGCGAATACAGGTATGCGGGCGCTTTTGGGCAGTACGACGAAGGTCAAGATCAGGGCAGCAAGCACAGCGAGGACTGCTATATCGGACAGGTTCTTGGGTTGCGAGGGCGAGAGCAGCTGTGAGACCATGTCGTGAGTCTGTGGAACGATGAAGACTAGACGTATAGCGTCAGTAACAGCGGGTCCGAGTTTGGGTGGACGCGCCATGCATGCGTGATACTTGTTCTTGCGTGGGCACAGCACCAGATGGGACATACCTGTACCGTCTGGAGTTCTTCCATAGGTTCGTTTCTTGTTGTCATCTTTATGGTTCTTATCTTCTTGGTCATTCAGCTCCAGGACCTTTTGTTTAGCATCGTCTGCGTTGTTGAGATGCAGCGGCTTAGCCGACGGCCGCTCTCGTAGCTGGCCGTCGTCTCCCTTGGATCCATTGCTAACATCAGCCATGTTGGAGGAGATGAGGCAATTGAAAAGGTGTCGGTTCTTCCGGCGCGAACTGAGTGAGGGGCTCGCGGGTTATATTGCAGGGACGGCTATGGCGCGAGCTTGCCGCGACGCTATGCAAGCACTGCGCAGTGGGCTGCTGTATGAACTGCCGGGATGCAGTCGAGGTGGTTGTTGGGGCCACACAGCGCGGCTCCGGGCTCCGTCTCTTCTTGGACGAGAGAAAATCGCGCTTCTTCTGTGCGGACCAACCGTCATGCGCAGAGTGTTGAACTCTAGCTAGCGTGCGGATGTTGAACGTGTATGGGAGGGGAGTCGTCGTTCGCTTGTCTGCAAGGCAAGGCGCGCAAACACGGGTGTGCTGTTATGACGGCACAGTGTGGGGCAATCCGCTTCACCCAAAACGGCAGCGATGGGCCGAAGCCATCTGACATGTGGAAGCAACCAAAAATCTGCATTTTCAACACTACGTTGCAACAGGACGCAGCTTCCTTGCATCCTGCGCCCCAACGACTAAACACTGCGTCTTCCTTGCACCATGTTTGCCCGCCCATTCCTTCGCCCACGCTGCCTGCCGCCAGGCTGAAACTCAAACAGGTGTGATCGAGAGCGATCGAACGACATGGAAAAATGCGGATCGAGTGTACACAACGCGCCAATGAGGGTGGGACTCTACCAATACGACTAAGTGCCGTGGGGTATTATGAGACGTCTGCCTGACATGCCACCGTGTTCTCTCATCATAGAGAGCTTGTCCTAATCCTAAGATTTTTGCCTATAGTGAACTTGCTCGGCTTTTGCTGTGTTGTCCAGTTGGCCCCAGTCTGGATTTCAGGCTCCTCATCAATATCCGCAAGTGAACTCTGTCGTCGCACTGGACCAATGCCCGCGTCACTAACAATGCGTCTTTCCAGAAGCTCCAGCGCCTTTATCTTCAAAGTCGTGATCGCCATCGAAGAAGAGAGATGGAGTTGGGCTAATTGTTGATCGACAGCAACCCGCTGACTCATGTATATATGCTGAGGTTGAAAGATTGCAGCCTCGGCGCTCAACAAGGCGTGCGTTTGTGTGTTAGCCAACACCTGCTGTCTAGCCTTGATATTCTCCAAGGGCGGAACAGGAAAAGACTCCCTGAAGTTCTCAAGCATCGTCACACCAACATTGCCAACATTACCAATCTCCAAACGTTCGTCCGGAGCGACATCGTCTGCGAAGAGAGGGCTGTTGCTCTCCTTTTCGAAGGGCGAGAGTACCGTGTCATCTGTCCAGCCGTTCCAGCTCATCTCGGTAGGCTCAGTTTGCACATCTACTGGATACGAGCATTGCATCGAAATGGAAGCAATGTCCGGCATCGTTGATGAGATGGCTGTAGACGGCATTGAGATAGTCTCGGCCATGTAAATATTTGCTTTACAAGCCTGGAGATTGTTGAGGAAAGCCTGCTCGTCTCGTTCTCTGTGCTTGATCTCTTTCTCCAATTCACGCTTGCCCTGTTGGGTTTTCTTTCTCTTCTTCCGGGATAATGAGGAGTCTGTGACCAATCGTCGTTCAGTTCGAGCTTGCTTCTTGCGCAGAACTTGTAGATATGTAACACAATTGGCAAGACCGTCTTCTAGGACTTCCTTCTCGGATTGCAACTTGGAGATCCTGAAAGACCAACTGAGAGCTTCGTTGGCAGGGAAGATGTCATTGGTAGCGGTGACGCCCCACGGCTGGGAAGAAGCTTTGGTACAGTCCATGCCGCCGGTGGTACAGCCCTTACTGTTCCTCGAACCCGATAAGCAACAAGAGACAATGTGACTGTTGTTTGTGGTGCGAAGGCAAAGATGTTACGGATGCAGGCTTCGACACGGTTTGGCTAGGAGATTTGTTTTATCATAGGTGCTTGTAATGGCCATCGTAATGAAGACTAGCTACTTCAAGCGTGGGCTTGTTCAATACTGTCAAAAGGCTGAGTGCTGCCTCGGATCCCGGGAACGATAGATGCCATCGAGTCTCGAGCAGAGCAGTGGCGCAAAGTCTGGCTCTAGGCCAGAAGCGATTGGCAGCCAGATGATCGACTCGTGATAATTGTTCAGCGGAAAGTTTCGTGATCAAGGAACGAGACAAAGCCATGTGCCTTGGGACAATCAGAAAGGCTACTAAGGGTTGCGAGGAGGCTTGCAGCAGTCAGGCTCACTACTAGGCTTCTTCGGTGTGGGCGGCTCAGAGCACTTGGGCCGTCATATTGATCGTATTATCCGCCACGGAATGGAATAGTTTACACAGGTGCTGTTCGGTGTCTTCGCTAAGATGGCTTTAGATCTATGATTGATGAGTCTACCGAGCAGAAGAAGGTTTGGTAGCTGTTCGGATAGAATCATCCCAGCATCTTCAGCGTTTCAGAGGAAATACCGAGATGACCGACGATACTCGAATCATGTACGGCTTGAGCGGGGGGTGTTCGTATGGTCTTAGCGGTGGTGTTGTGATGTCTTATGCAAGGGTCAAGCCACGTTGTGATTCTGCATGTAATGCACAGCGTCGTTCAAGGCGACCACTCATCGGTGAGATAGCATGATTTCGGATGTGCGTGCATGAAAGGGAGTTCCGTAACAGCTGTTTGCACGGATGTATCATCAACACTCGTCTTAGAGAATCCCAAACCTTGGCAGATTCCGAGTGCTGAACGATATTGGAAGGGTGAGTATAGCGGGTCCACGGATCTTGGCCGGAACAGCGTGCAAGTATAAGTACCTGCGTCGGTTCATGGTATTCTGACACGAACGATGGCCTTGTGTCCATGGTGCGTATGCCTAGGGCTGAATAGCAGCTTTCTGATGAGCGAGCGTGCGGACATGTCCGCGCGCCACTATTCCGCGCTGGCGTCGCACCTCGGCATGCGACTATACAGGTCAGATTTGGATTTATCATCCCGGGCATCCTTATGTATCAAACTATCGCTATCGCTCTTCTGCTCTTACTGACTTGCTTCCGTTCATCTACTCGCTACGTTGGCACCGCACTTCGCCCACGCCAACGTCGATTCTGCCTAGCAGGGCGCTCACGTGGCCAATCACGTTGTGCTCACCACACTCAGTGTCTGGCCAACCCAGCTGCAGCGTACTGTGTAATGTGTCCACTCCACTGTGACGGCATCGCTTATGCAGCAATTGCTCGACCCCGCAATAGGCAGCGTGATCGTCACGAACTTGTCGTGGTCGGCCAGAGTTCGCGACCGAGGAACAGGCCGTCGTGCAGCATGTTCCTGAATGCTTTCGTTTGGCATCGGTTTCCCTACAGCTGCTCAACGTTCTTGATCCCGGACTTCCGCCGTCCCTTCCTTAGTTGGCAAACAATGACGTCATCATTATGGTTTCACAACAATGCTGTACGTTCAGGTACCATGCTTCCGCATCGCCCTGGTATCGGTGCAATTTGTCTAGGCGGGGTTGATGTTGATGATGTGCTCGAGCGGCGTAGGCATTTCCGTCGTACCGCTGTCAATCGTGAGAAGAACGGATGTCTTGATTTGTTGCGAGTTTGCGAGTGATATTACCACTGCAGCCGCTAGCCAAGCAGTGTGGCAGTATCTGCTCACTGACGAGACTTTGCATTCGACACTATTCCATTAGAAATACTACCGGCCCTCTAGTTACCGTCAGCTACCGCACGGCATAAGCGTCCGAGTACCCACATTACGTACTTTTCGCACCATATAAGTATTGCGCAGCCCTCGGCATTGGGTGTGCTTAGTAGAACGGCTCTTGACGGGCATACCGATTTACGATACTATCCAAGCCCCTGCATCACGGAAAGATGGCGACCAAAATAATCGATATCCGGACAGACACCGCGGAGTCTGATATTCTTGCTGATATCAAGAATGGTTTGCGACCGAACAATGGTGGCGAAAAGAAGCTGCCTACGTTGCTGCTCTACGAGTAAGCGACGGTGTAACCGGCGTCAGATGCACGCTAACCCCACTTCTCTTCTATCAGCCAGGAAGGTCTCCGATTGTTCGAAGAAATCACATACCAAGAAGAGTGAGCAGCTTCACTCGTGGCTTATATGGACGTTAAGCTGATCAAGTTCGTTGCGCCAGGTACTACTTGACAAATGCCGAAATCGAGGTCCTCGAGACATATGCGGATAAAATCGCCGAACGAATCCCATCCAACTCCATCATCGTGGAACTGGGGAGCGGGTAGGGTCTCGGCTCCCACTTAAAAAGAGATTGGAAACGAGCCCTGTGCTTCGTGAGTACTAATAGTTGTGTAGCAATCTCAGAAAGGTGAACATACTTTTACAGGCTGTCGATCGTCTTGGCAAGGACGTCGAGTATTACGCTGTCGACCTGTCTCTTCCAGAATTGGAGAGAACATTCGGCGAAATACCTACAGGTAAGCAATTATCTCATAATAATTGATATTGCAGAGAGGGGGTGGGGTTTAAATCAAGCGTGCCACAGTATACACTATTCAGTGAATGTGGTCCAGACCTGCATGAACCTGCATATATGTGCGTCAACATAGTGGAAATCAACGCCCTTATCTCCTTATCACTGCACGCTACATTGATCTACGTGGATCACCCTTCCGACCTTGTTAACCAAGCATGCAGATGGATACAAGCATGTCAAGTGCTTTGGGCTGTACGGCACGTACGACGATGCCCTAGAGTGGCTGAAGACTCCCGAAGTCGAAGAGAAACCAAAGACCATCCTTTGGCTGGGCTCCAGCCTGGGCAATTTCAAACGCCATGAGGTGCCGCCATTCCTTGCTGGGTTTGGTGCAGTCCTACAGACTGGTGATACCATGCTTATCGGTATCGATTCATGCAAAGATCCCGAGGTAAAACTGTTATTACGAGATGCACGTAAACACACGCTGACCATATACTTCTACTAGCGTGTTTACCATGCGTACAACGATTGCAACGGTGTAACGCACAAATTCATCCTCAACGGTCTGAAACACGCAAACGCAATCATGGGCGAGAAAGCTTTCGATATTCAGAACTGGGAAGCCATTGGCGAGTACGACAGCCAAGCTGGAAGACATCACGCTTTTGTCGCACCACTCAAAGACACTGTTGTCGACGGTGTCCCGATCAAACAGGGCGAAAAAATCCGCATTGAGGAATCTTACAAGTACAGCCGCGAAGAAGCGAAAGAGCTTTGGGAGCTGGCCAAACTCGCGGAGAACGTTGTATGGGCGAACGCCAAGGGCGATTACGGTCTGCATTTTGTTTCCAAGCCCGCAGTGTTCTTTCACACTAAGCCAAAGGAGTACGCGGCGAATCCAGTACCCTCTTTGGCCGAGTGGCGAGAACTTTGGACGGCCTGGGACGCGGTCTCAAAGGACATGATACCCGAAGAAGAGCTACTCTCCAAGCCCATCAAACTTCGGAACGAGTGTATCTTCTACCTCGGCCACATTCCTACATTCCTAGATATACACATCGCCCGCGCCACCGCCGGCAAGCCTTCGGACCCTGCCTATTTCTGGAAGATCTTTGAGCGCGGCGTTGATCCTGATGTCGAAGATCCAACTCAGTGCCATGCCCACTCCGAGATTCCTGAAGAGTGGCCGCCGCTAAAAACCATTCTAGGATTTCAAGAGACAGTACGAAGCAAAGTCGAAGCGCTCTATAGTTCAGGAGAGGCGGAATCGAATGGCCGTGTGTCTCGAGCACTTTGGATCGGTTTTGAGCATGAAGTCATGCATTTGGAGACTTTGCTCTACATGCTGATCCAGAGTGACAAGGTCTTGCCACCTCCTGGCACCAAGGTTCCAGACTTTGCAGCATTTGCAGCGCAGTCGCAGACTCTGGCAACCGAGAACCAGTGGTTCACGATTCCTGAATCAGACATCCAAATAGGTCTTGAAGACCCTGAGAATGACTTCAAAACCATACGATACTTTGGATGGGATAACGAGAGACCTAGCCGTACAGCGCACGTAAAGTCCTTCCGCGCAAAGGCTCGCCCGATCACGAACGGAGAGTACGCCACATATCTGTCTGAGACAGGAAAGACAGGTACGTGAACATTGGAGTGGAGTCGCTGGTGCTGGCTTGACCACATCTCTGATCAAGTTTCGCTGACTGTACCGTGTAGCTATACCTGCGTCGTGGTGCAAACAGCCATACCCTAATGGTGAGGACACAAGCACCAGCAAGAGAGACAGTGTGGTGAATGTTCAACATAATGAAACCAATGACTCACCTCAGAGCATTACAGATGGCAAATTTGTCCGTACTGTGTATGGTATTGTCCCTTTGAAGTTTGCCATGGGTTGGCCTGTAGTTGCATCCTACGACGAACTAGCTGGCTGCGCGCAGTGGATGGGCGGTCGTATTCCCACGATGGAAGAAGCACGAAGCATCTACAGCTACGTCGACGGCATGAAGCCGGAGTTTGAGAAATCGCTCGGAAACACGATTCCAGCAGTGAACGGGTAATATTTACACTTCGCAACGCCTTGGATTCATGATTAAAATTCTGCAGGCATTTGATCAACGAAGGAGTGTTTGAGACGCCACCACCACACTCTTTGTCTAACGGCGACTCCGGCACAGTATCTGGTCTCAATCCACACGACCTCTTCATCGACCTTGAAGGGACGAACGTGGGCTTCAAACACTGGCACCCAGTCTCAGTGGTCGAGAAGGGCAACAAGCTCTGTGGCCAATCTGATCTGGGAGGTGTTTGGGAATGGACTAGTACTGTGCTGGAGAAGCATGACGGCTTTGAGCCGATGGAGCTGTACCCAGGTTATACAGGTATGAGGGGACCCGACGGGCCTCTGCTCCTCAACACATGATAAGACGATGCTAAGAGTAGGCAGCCGACTTCTTCGACGGCAAACATAACGTCACGCTTGGTGGATCGTGGGCGACGCATCCGCGCGTTGCTGGACGAAAGACATTGTGAGTAGAGAGCGGCAACTGCAGCCGAGGCCATGTTACTAACGTGTCAAAGCGTCAACTGGTACCAACGCAACTATCCCTATGTCTGGGCTGGTGCGCGTGTTGTGTCGGATGCCTAGATTGGTGGTACCTGATTCGTTGTTTGCGTTTGCAGTGTCTCCAAATGCTGTGCTTAGTCCCGGCCACGATGGTGCAGCGGCGCGAAACTGTACGGATCGTCGGGTCACTGCATCTTTCACCGCAACGATGAGTCGCTTTTTCGTAGCAAGAGAGGCATTTCCTTTGGTCCGGCGCGAATGTGCATCACTTCCATCTTGCTGGATCCAGTCTCTACAGAAATCATTTCATCGTCGTGTAGTCACAGCCACTCGCTCTTTCCGCAATTACGTAGTCAGCCTTGGGCTATGAGAATACACCGTCACGCACGACCATTGCACCTCACCCCGCTGCGTTAGCGAGAACAATTTCAAACTACCACGCGTCTTATTCACTGAAGATTCTGCGGCCAGGCAAAAGTGTCGTCTATTTCCCCGCTCGCATTGGCATAGCACAAACCCCACCTACCTTTTTCCACAACCACGAATGACGCAGTTCATTATTCATCTGAAAGGTACAGCTTACTGCAAGAAATGGGTAACAACCTACTCTTTAAGTGGGAAGATTCGGAGGCGCTGAAGTAAGTTGTTTCGCAGTGTTTATTTACTTGGGCTGCCGGAACCTTTCGGAGGCAACCGCCCAACACATATACTATCGCTGACCATTCCAGACACCACTGTGGGTTCTGTGAGCGTCCCTTGAGCCATCCCGGTGCGAGAGCATCTTGTTTCGGCAAGCACAGCGAGCCATGTGTCCGCTTTCACCAGGTTCGTCATGTCGGCTATACACGAGGCAACCGGCGTTCTAACTCTGTCTAGGCCATGTTCATGCGCCTTCGGGGTCATACGTGCAAGTACTGTATGGAAATTGATGAACAGCATTACAGGCGCCATCACGATATCGCCGAGCGCTTACGTGCGGTCTACGAGAGTTGCGGCGAGGTCGATTGGAACATCGTGCCAGATGAATTCGGGCCTGAGGAACGTGGAAGAGTGAGAGAACCCGGTGACGTGGACACACCATTATCGAAGCGCGAGAGAAAGGATGCGAAGCGTCTTGTGAGAGCGGCAAGTAGATCGAGAGTCATCACTCTGGAGGAGATCAGATACATCGACTCCGTCGTGCACTCCGCTGAAGGCACGACGAGCAACGATGCCGATGGACCGCGTGATCCAGAAGAGGTCGATGAAATCGAAAGGCAGCTCCGAGTAAGTGCTTGAGTTATACTGGCGTCGTTGGTTTCCATTGTTTTGCTAATCCTTTCATAGTACCATGCTCATGTCTATAGCACACAGGTCAGTCGGAGGGGGCTTAGGAAGCTCGCCGAGGCTCACGAAGATACGCTCGATATCGACTTCGAAGCCGAGATGGAACGCATCCTGGAGACCTTCCGCATCAACAAGTTACTCAAGCGCAACACGAAAACTAAGGGATTGCAGGGAAAAGAGCTAAAGGCATTTCTCAATTTCGTCGACGGTTTGAAGCACGCCGTGCTTGAGGATATTGTGTTGGTCAACAAAGACAATGCTGAATCGCGCATGCGGCGGGCTGGTTACCTCAGATATACTAACAAAACATCTTACGGGATTGTAGAAGAAAGGTATACCGACAAGGACTGGAAGACTGGTGAGAAGTTCGCGTCCAGTTCGAGTGATTTCAGTGGTGCCATCACTCCTGTACATGAAACCAGTTTACTTCCAAGGTACGTTCATTTTCCTTGTCTCAGGTTGACCGGATTGCAGAGAGAGACGCCGAATAGCTCTGTGGAATCAATAGAAGAGGCTGTCAGCTAATATCTCTCAGCGAACGATTCGAAGACCAGTCTCCTTGCCGGCCTAGAACTGCTCACAGCCCGGACCGGAGACATCTTGAGAGTAGTCACAAGCGCGTTAGTGGCGATGATGGACTCTACGCTGCAGACATCGAGCCTTATCATACCCCACTACTATCTTTACCACCTGCTCCAGCTTCTGGTATGCCAGTTGCCGCGATCATGGTGATCAACATTAAAGCTCCAGTGCGTGCACCAGCTCCAGTGCGTGGTCGCGCAAAGAAGCCTGTCAAGACAGCCTCTGATGGCTGGAAGACCGTTACGAACGGAGGTGTGCCAACAAAGCAGATACCAAAGGCACGTGTTTGGGGTAATATCCCAAGCAAGCGCCCAGCTCAGGCTTCTCGACCTGGGCCAGCACCATGGTCTTCCGACTCTCGCAACTTTCCCGATATCTCCGCTGCGAAAACATCGTTCGATGGTGCATATTCCCAACCTCGTGAGGTGAAGCCTCCGATGATTTGGTGTTCGAAGGAGCCTGAGACCTTCGTTTTCCAGACGGAAGACGATGTCAGTGGCCATGCCGCGGTTTCACAAAAGAAGAAAGCTAAGAAAGCTCGAGAAGCTAAGCGCAAAGCAAAGAAGCACTCTACATCAAACGAGATCATCACCGAAGACGTTGGAGATGAGCCTGACATCTCAATGCAAGGCCCTTCTACACCACAAAAGACCAAGGTCGACACCAACGTCCTAGATATCGACGAGACACTGCAATCTTTTTCGATGGATACCAAGACTGAAGGGAAGTTCGCCGACCTTGTGGTAGAGCCAATTGCTATGATTCACGATTCCAGTGATGGGATATCGCCGGTGCCTCCGCCTGAATCTATGCCGATCACAAAACATGGCAAGCACATGCACTGGATCCGGTTTGTACGCAATTTTGTTGTTGATCAACTCACCAATCCATATTCGCCGTCGTGGAGTGGATGTTCACACAGTAGCTCGTGTTCCTTTGAGAACAATAACGTCCCGGATTGTCCTTTCCACGAGCCTCGTGAGTACATCGCATTTGCATCTTGACAGTGGATATTAACTCCAATACAGATTGCTCCTGTGTCGATCCTTTGACAGACCAGTGCTATCTGGCGATGCCTTGTGTTGAGCTGTGTAGTACTGGACCGTTCAACCGCCTCCGTGGCGAGAAGCTGCTGTCACTATATGAGAAGGACCATCGAACAAAGGGCCGCTTGATGCTCATAGATGACGACCTAATCAATTACTTTATGGAAGACCCTATCAGCCGATCGCGCAATCGCAACCCAGACGGCGTGCCCGCGCGTCTACAGAAGGAGTATGACGACGTCAAGAACGGATACAATCCCGGAACTCTCATGGCGCAAGAGCTTCGTTTTGAGCGACTCTACGCTAAGAACGGTTTTATGAAGCAGGAGCTTACCCAGAGTATGCTACAGGATATCCAGCGCAACGAGTTCGAGCGTTTGGATACGAGGTACATGTGCTATTGTCGTGCTGCCTTACCGAAGACAGGATCTTCAAAGACGGACATTATTGTTTGCTCATATCGCGACTGTTCCACTGGGAACTTTCATCGATCATGCATAAAGAAGCTTGGCTTCGGCTTGGTGTCGCGCTGGTATTGTACCGAATGTGAACAGAAGATGAAGGTACTCGCGCGCCAGACGTTACGCCGTTTAGGCTATACCGATATTCCACATGAGGGCCCATGCAGCTATTCATACGGACTTGGCGCGGACAAATTCGAAGAGATGTTCGATGAGAAATTCGCGGAGATGATGAACTCATCCGACATGGAATATCTGAAACTACTACCAGCCGACCTGAGGAGCAAGGTCAAGGAGGTCGGGGGGTTCACGGCTATGCCCAAAGAGCTCCAGCAGCAATTCAAAGAGAAGGTCAGGGCGCTTGGCGAAAAATTTAGGGCAGCGGACGTCAAGATGTTCGATTTGTAACGGGAAGCGAAGCGCGCTTTGCATTGCGCAGTCTAAGTGGGCCGGGTATGTGCAATTTGGCTGTTAAGATTACAGAGTATTTGGGCTTCCAATTAGGAACGCTGGGATGAGTAATATAGCGGAGGGAAGAGCATGTCAAACCATGGTATAATTTGTAAATTCTGTCACCCAAGGTACAGTTGTCGTAGCTTCCACGTTTAGCATTACAAGCAAAGCCCAAAACTTTGACTAGTATATATAATGCAGATCATATTTCATTCTCTGGGAGATCACAAAGACATCGCATCGCCGAATTCATCCAGGCACTATATAGCAGAAGCCATATCCACTCTTGTTTAGCAGACGATACCTTGAGCCTATAAGATACAGACAGCAACCTCGGCTTTCAAACGCTAGCGACTACAACCAACCATACAAATTCACCGACAAAATTCGACGAGTCCAGCTCACAAGCTCTTGGAGCATGCTGTCACGTAACAAAACGATAGATAGTGGCATTCTCGCGACCATGTACCCACTCACGCGCTGCCAAGCAAGAACACCCTCATTCTCACTAGGACGCATGGGCATCGACAATATAACAAGAGAAATAGAAGATACCGAAGAGACTTCTCGCCCAGTCCTCCAAGCTATCGGCAGTATTGTCATTGACAACTCTATCCCAGACCGCGGCATCAGTAACAATAGAGACACGGAAGAAGAGGAAGAAGAGGAAGAAGATGTGAAGGTTGAAGAGCTAGGATCTCTTGCTTCACGGACGGTAGATAGCATAGACTTGATACGTCGAGATAGTGAGAGGATCGGGACGGCTAGTGCGAAACGTAGGATGGGCGGGAAGCATAACGTTAGAGACTGGTTTTTGGAGTATACACCGCGCTGGAAGAAGTATTTTCGGTGGAACCAGAGGGTGGATTAGAGAGAGATTGCTCCGTTGTAAAGACTTTTGGGTGAGGATGGCATAAGTACAAGTGTAGACCTCCTGCCAGGAAGATTGAAGGTACCCATAATGTCCACGCCGCATCTTTCTATACTGTCGCCCAGTGATCTCCCTTCTAGTAGTGCTTACTACCACAAGTCAAGAGGGAGAACCATTTGTATCGTCTCCCTTTCCTTTGCCTGATTAGCTTTTGGCTTTGTCTACCACTATTTGCTACTGCTCGTACAGTCCTAACTCCGCCTTTACCACGGCCCTGTACTTGGGCTGCTACAGTACTTTCGCTCTCGTTCTGGATGCGATACGCGTTGTCGTGCGCCTTGTTGTTATACTGGTAGACCTGGATGACGCACGGCGCCTTGAGTCCTCGATCTTGGGAACCAACAAAGGATCGGTGAGATGATAAGTGGGTGTGTGAGGACACAGGCGGGCGTGGGCATTGCAGGGATGCCGATGGTGGTGATGGTGAGGAAAGCGGCGGTAGGGCCGATGGCAATGGTAATGATAGAGGTCGATCCAAGTGCAACACGCCATCATGGTCTACAGTGGAAGCACTAAGGTCACCATTGTGATTTTCCACACCCTGTGAAGGATACGACAGATTTGGGTCATCGGGGTCGCCCACATGTATGCGCACTCCGGGATCACAAGCCTCATCTGGCTGGTTGGAGAACGAGCTATGTAGTAGCGTGTGAGTAGAATCTGGAGATCTGAGATGGCCTACATGATATTTGTGCTTAGGGATCTTTGAGGAGTGCTTTTGTGTACCATTACCGAACTCTCCAAAAGTCTTGGTCAGTTGTGGTCTATCGGCGTCGTTTACATCGATCGGATGTGTTGTGTGAGCAGACGTCCAACGTCCATTACCTAAACCTGTTTTGTTTGGCTGTATCTCAAGTTGTGGGTATGAAGGAGGCCTCCTGTCGTTAACAAAGAACACCTCTGGCTGATTCTTGATGGGATCTGGACTAAAGGATCGTGCTTCCGCCAATATCTCATTTCGAATAGCAGGGTCAGTCTTCGTAGTATCGAGGTTTCGTTCTAGTTCGCTGATCGAAGGTGCTGTCCTACCAGCAAAGCATATGAGGAAGTTTTCGGCATGACTGTTGCGTCCGATCTGGTCTCGAAGATGTTGAAAAGCTTCGAGGAGGGACTCGTCGGTAGTATACTGGAAGTCTAAGTCTGCACCTCTTCCGTCGACGATGTTGGCATGAATGCCGATCATCATCGTCATGAGATCATTCTGCAATCCAGTTAGACCAAGTTGCGCCGCTAGCACCCACGTTTGAGCGAAGAGAAGCAGGGATGCGTTGCCCTCGGCCAGACCTGTGAAGATTGGGGGGCACTCTCCGCTGTCCAGGTAGTTCATCACAGCTCGGAAAGGCTCGAATTGCACACCTCGCAGTATAGCACCTGGGGGTATCGCGCTCAATACGAAACATCGCCTACGCATGCGACTACTGAGTTCAAATGGAACATGAGAACCGTCACCAAGTTCGAGTGCGATGGTGACGCTGTTACTGGACATGTTAGCTTGCATGCTTCCGTCTAGTATGGAAAGAGTATTGGCGTATATGTGGAATATATGCTCTTGAGCGCTCTTGGGAGCTCTCCTTTGCGACATCATTAGTTTGCATTACGTGAAAGAGAAGAAAGCAATTTTTGCGTTGCCCTGAAAGCAACACCACGCCTTCTTTGAACACGCTTTGGAGTTTGATCGTGTTTGTGTTCGTTGGTCAACTGCATATTGCATATATTGAGAACATGTGTGCTTTGCGGTTATGGCTTACGAATGAGAATTCCATCTCATCTTCAAGCAATTTGAAGCCTACAAGCCTTCTGCATGGTCAAAGACGACCCAAGACTTTCCAAGCGACTAGGATTGCTGCAGGCGGCGTTTCCAATGGCGCACCAATGGCTTCCAAATATTCGTCTTCCCGTCGAAATACGAGTATGCTACGCCCAGCATTCCACCAGCGAAATGAGCCTGTCGTCGTTAGCAAGTGATATGCGTCGCTCTGCATGTTGAACCTACTGCGTGACCAAAGTTCACAAAGCTATACCCTCGAATAATGCCAACCAGATCGAAAAGTAGTATCGCGGGCAGCACATATTGCGCGTCGAAATGTACAGGGACAAATAATATTCCTAGGCCAGCATGAGGATATTGCATGCAGAAGACTCCAAGAACTCCGAACAATGCTCCTGATGCGCCTCCGGAGCGAATAAAGATTTCAGGGATTGGTCGCCTGTGAAAAGGTATGCGAGTGCTCAAAGTTGTCCAGTGTTGAGCGAAGCCCGAAAGCACACCAGCTGAGAGATAGAACGATAATGTATGGTATGGGCTGCCCTCGAATAGGCGGGAGTATCCGACTGGTGCCATGAAGTTGTTCAAGAAGTACATATTGACGAAGAAATGCAAAGCTCCACCATGTACAAACATGGATGTAAATTGGGTGTAATTGACATTGCGAGCGGGCAGATGCCATAGTGTTTCCCAGGCTCTGGGCAGTAGAAAGCTGCTCAGGTGGATACCGCTGTTGGCTCCAATAATTCCATACGTGACTCTCGAAATTGGATCGAGATTAGTCCAGGCTCCAGTCACGACTTCAGTCGGGGTCGGCGGGCCACGTTGTTTTGTACTCCATTGTGGCGCTTGAAGCCATCCTCCACCAGATGCTGGTTTGGATTTGAGTTCGCTCTTGGCCTCTAGGTAGGCGAGACCGTAGAAGATGCCGCCGGATACAGAAAGTGCCCAAATTGCAGGAATCAAGTATCTCACTTTGACTTTGGGAAACTGTGTATATGTGTCGTCGGAAGCATCGTCCACCGCCTGTCGTAGTACTTCTTCCGGTATAGGTGGCTGTTCGTTGTTAGGCCTTGGGGCTTCACTTCTCAGCTGGGCGTATTGTGCGCGCTGCTGCGAAAGGTAGCGAAGCCTTGACACGGTCGGACGAAAGACGGAAATCGCCGGTGGCTGAGACGCGTAGCATGCGCACCGCAGCGACGGTCCGCCTATCTTGTATGCAAACATCGCGTGTTTGGAGTGTAGCTGCAATGACGCGAAGCTTCCAATTGGCGTCGGCCCGACTAGCGTGGGGCACGTGCGAAGATTATCGCTATCCCTGGCCGCCTGCTCCTTGACACTCTCTAACTTCATCTTTACTTATCAAATCATCTCCGTCGAAAGACGTCTGTCAATAGGCAGCGACTGTTTATTTACATTCGCGTCACCGCCCGATCGGAAAATTCATTGGTACGCGAAGTATAGTCTATGGGCTGAAGTCTCTAAACGGTTATCCGGCGATTACGGTTGGTAACCTCGTTACGCTTATTGGGCAATCCTCGCGCACTCTCACCATGACTTTCGCTATTCAGTTCCCAGTGCGCAGTGATAATATGCGCAATCTGAATGTATTAGTACCCGTAGTCTAATGGCATAGGAAAGATAAGCCTACCATCTTACTCATCGGAGGAAGCTCATGTCCGGTTTACCTCACTCTAGCGTCCAAAAGCACCCCAAGGCCCCGCAGTATGCGGCCTTGAGCTCTCTCTCATGACTGCACAGCTCTTGTTGAACCTGGTAACACCAAAGCCCCACAAGCTCCTGGATTCCTATACGTTGCTCTGAACTGAGTGGCTTCAATAAAATCAGGAAGGACGCCAACAACCTTGGTTCAACCCTTAGCGAACCTTAGAAGCATTTCGAGTGTCAAGAACCGTACCCAACATCCCAGCCAAGCGAACTCTGGATTTGCCTATGGTTCTCACATCAAAATAATGTGCATCAACATTGACATCCCTTCGTTCACTTTTCCTTACTCCAACGAACGCCCAATATTTCTGGCACGATCTTCCAGGCTTAGAGTCCCAACTCACTTGATTTCACGCTTCTAAATCAAGCAAATTTCTTCTGCCATTGCGCAGATGTTTAAGCTATTCAGAGAGACGTTCAGCTTCCGATTTGACTTTGATGAAAACTCTTCCACAAGTACCTCATCTTCGAATAACGGCGATATCGAAGTTCAAGTGGGCAGACTACCTAATGCTGGTCTTGTTCATGTCCCGCGCACCGCTCTCAGGACATGTCGTGTACTACGCACAAGTCTTGTGCATGGGTGCAGAATCAAGAACACTGACGCTCTTGTCTTTGAAGTTATCTTGGCACACTTCAACGTCAATGGTTCGTTAGGACGGCTGCGACCAAATATACGAAATCCATTGACGCAACTTACTGGCGGCTGCGACAGAATGCTCAAACTCGCCAAGGCATGGCATCTAGCGGACATGCTCGACGACGTGCGGCTGCAGAACAAGCTGATAGATGTGTATCGCATTCTCTACCTTGAGCTACTCAATGCAAACACCAGAGTACCTCTAGACTACGAGGCATTCATATATCTGGAATCCCATCTCGGTACCCATACGAAGATGGAGAAGTTTATGATAGACTTCTTCGCTGGACTATCTCGGTATACAGGCGAATTCAGTGCTCAGGAACTCCTTCCGTTTCGACCCGACGTTTCACGAGCATTAAAGGTGCGACGCGCGCAGCTGGTGGTACAGGGAAGTTTTGTCGATCTGATCGCTACCGGTAATACTTGCTTTAACGTGATCAAATCGGACGCGACAACACACAGCTCCTTGCAAGTGACTAAGCCGACGAGACTTTCCTCAAGTGCGGGTCTCAACTCCTTACCATTACGGCATAGCCTCTCAACGTCTTCACTATCGTCTTTGGTCTCCCTTCCAGTATCATCAACGACTGCGATATCGTCTGCGTCACCGACGTGTGATCGCAGGCATCAAAGGCGTTTGTCGCTATTAGGAACTACGAGTATAAATGAACAACCAGAGGTCTGTTTATCTGGTACATTGGCTTCTATCTTCCAGTCGGCAATCGGTGCCACTTTGTGCCCTTGCCACACACGCTCGGTGTCTCTCACGACCCCAACATCTAGCCGCGCACCATTCATGGCAAAAAAAGCCGTCCCCTTTCGTCAGCAGGTTCATATAGCTTCGGAAGACGATTCCTCGGACGACGACATAGCGTACGATATATTTCCATCAGGTCTGTAAGGCATGACTTCAGTCGAGAATTGAATTCAGCAAAACGATAGATATTTCAACCCTTTGAAACGGGAGAGGATGGGAGAGACAACGATAGTATTGTGGTGTTTGCAAAAGAGTTGATGTGTATTCTGTTCATAGTAGATCATAAATCGCACGCTCGAGTACGGAAGTAATGGAATGTGTAAGGGGTTCGCTGTCTGCCACCATGCTTGGGTCATAGGGTGTATGTGTTAAACAAAGCGCGAATGAGGATTAGTTTATTTACAAAAGATAAGGTTGTGAAATATTTAGAGACTCTATTAATGCCATATACTGCTCATCGACGGCCGGAAGTCTACTGCTAAGTTCCGCCGTATTATGCAATTTGGATAGGCTATTGCGGATGTACTGGCATAAGTTTCAAATCGAGCATATACCCCTCACACACTACGCCTGCTTACCGACTGCTGCCGCAGGAACCGATGTGGGAACATGTTGGCTGCTCGAGCTACTGACGTTCGCCTCGTAGTGGTTCTGCTCCATGAGACTCCAATCACCGATCTGCTCATCTCCAAACTGGTCGAGATCCAGACCCATCATCTCAGCCTCTGAGTTGACGCGGAGATGCATGCCAGGAATGAACTTCAAGATGTACAAGAGAATACAAGAGACGACGAAAGAGTAAGAGGCGATGGCGACAATCTCAGCCAATTGGCGACCGATTTGCACACCTACACCATCCATGCCTCCGAGGCCGTCATACGGACCCATACCATCGAGGTCGTAGATCCAGGCTTGGCCGAAAATACCAGTGAGGAAGGAGCCAACCATGCCACCGATTCCGTGGAGCTTGAAGACATCCATGCCCTCGTCGATCTTGATCCACTTATCGACATTCTGGCAAAGAGAGCAAATCGCAGCAGTGAGAAAACCGATGAGGGCGGCTATCCACACAGAGACATAACCTGCAGCAGGAGTAATGCCGACAAGACCAGCGATAGCTCCAGAGCAAGCACCGACCACAGAGAAGTGACCTTTGGTACGGACGTACTCAACCGACACCCAGCCGAGAACTCCGAAGGAGGCCGCAGTGTTGGTGTTGAAGGCAGCCAACATCGAGCGCACGGTGCCGTTAAGAGCACTACCTCCGTTGAAGCCGAACCAGCCAAACCAGATGAAGACAGTGCCGATGAAGACGAGTGTAGGATTATGAGCTTTTCCGTGGATCTTGTCGCCCTTGTGAAGGCGTTTGCCGAGGACGAAGGCGTAGGCGAGGGCAGACCAGCCGGATGCAATGTGAACGGGGCCGCCACCTGCGAAGTCTAGAGAGGGAAGGTTGAAAAGCCAACCATTTCTAGAAGACCGTCAGTATGTCTCAGCAAGCACAATCTGTGAGGCTTACGCATTCCAGGTCCAGCAAGCGATTGGGCAGTACACGATAGTTGCCCAGCAGAAGGCGAAGACCATTGACGGCAGGATGCGACCGCGTTCAAAAGATCCACCAATAACAAGCTGTACAGTACATGCGCAGAAAAGCATCTGGTAAAGGCCTACGTACAGTTAGTAAGTACGATCTAGCTCGGAATTCCATGAGATACCTACAGAACACGATCTCAGGTAGAAATGATGAGCCCGGCGAGGGTGCCGACATGACATTCTTTAATCCGAAGTTGTCCATGTTGCCAATGAAGGGACTGGCCGAGCGAGAGTATGCGAGCGAATAACCCCAGAACATCCACTGGAATGTAACTACTCCCATGACCGCGAACGACTGGAAGAGCATAGAAAGTGCCGACTTGCGGCGAGCAAGACCGGAGTAAAGAAACCCGATTCCAGGTATAATCAAAAACACAAGGAAAGCCATGATCATAAGGTAGATGTAGTGGAACTCCAGGCCAGTGTACTGAAGGTTGACATTTTCGATATCTGGGTTGCCGCCATTGGGCTTCGCCGGGTCGAACTCAGGCTACGCTTGTGTCAGTTGTCTTGCATGTTGGACGTTGTTGTCTGTTGGGGAAACATACAGTGGGTGGTACCTCCATGGTGTAGGGGTGTCAGTGTATCGACTATGACTGGAACCTCAGGGGTGTTCTGGAAAGAGAAGACAAGAAGTGCAGGGGCTCTCCAGCGGATATATATCTTTCAACGCCTTTCCTCACACCATCCGGCCAATTTCCAGGGACCGAGATTGATGCGCCGTCAAACCCGGTTCGCCTTCTACTTCGATACATACGACGCTGCTGTGCCCCCAACGCTGAACGTGGCGCCGTCTGGGCAAAGATAAGCAGGGCGTTAGGAATCCCATGCTGATGGAGCCGAGCGCATATTGTGGAGCTTCTGGCTTGGGTTGCTGTGTTTGGCCTGAGATTTGATGCCGCGAAGGATTCCGAAGACGGATTGCATGTCCCAAATAGCCAAGGCCCGTAAGCCACGGTCGCGCTTGTATAGAATGGTGAAGGTAAGAGTTCAGGGTCTTGGTGGCTGATAAGAGACGGGATGAAAGCGGTATAGCCCCTGTGCCTGAGTGATAAGCTGGTCTGTCTGGAACAGGGGCGATTGGTTGGCCAGAATCGACCTACCGATGGCTGTACGGTGCTTTACGAATCGCTCTGTGTAACGAAATCTGGAGTGAAGATAGACAGATTCCATCCCGCTAATGTCGTACATTGGCTACCGCGTGGTGTTGCTGTACCGCCGTTGATGGCGGCTGATTTACTCCCGTTTGTCCGTGATTCCGAACACCAGGTCCGTGCCACCGCCACGGGGCTGATCCACTCCTATGGTATCATGGAATGTCGTTCTCTTGTTAGGCGCAAATGTGCAACTATGTCAGTAGAGACTGCAGTCATTGACGAAGATGAATGAGAGTGAGGGCTTGCATAGTACAGCTAGCGCTTTCTGAACAGGCAATCTGGGCCCGGATTTAGTGCCATGTACTGTGCCGCGAGGATGCAAGACCAGATTTGCTGCACGGTTATCACTTACCGTATACACCCAAAACACAGGCTGTAAGGGAATCCTGCAAAGTAACATTGGGCCTCCGGTTACTGCAAGGTTTACACATTGCGTCCAGGACAAAGCAACTCGTCCCTTCCTGCGCTGAACGCTATAGCCTCCCTGGCCCTCTCTGCTCGATCGTACGATCGATGAACATATCAGGGTAGGCGCATTTTCCCAGCCAATATATGCATTCTCTTCATTCTCCTGCGGCTGGCATCAGCGTTTTCAACAACGTACAGAGCGTGAGCCTCGTGTCAATGCACAAGATGTAAGAGGCATTGCCTCTGCAAGAGTCCTTTGGGCTAGGGCTATCCCTTTGTCGACACGGACATTAAATCTCTCGCCATGGGATATGAAGCCAGGGAACTTTGTCAGCTATATAAGCATACGTGCTGCCAATATTTCCCCAGTCTCCAAGGTCACCTGCGACGTAATTAGTAAAGTCTCAAGTGTGTTCCGTCATGAGGGTAGAGACACATACCACAAGCATTTCGTTGGATGAGATCTCTCGTCTATTGGTTGGTCGGGGTATTGCACAATCACGGCGCAGTATGCCGCAGGGCGGACATTTGCCTGATGGAGGTAGCCCGACGATCTACGCAGATGGCATTGTTCAGAATTAGACACAAAGCAGGTCGTATAACGATGGCGATGTTTTGTCGTGTTGTATTGGTGAGAAGAGAAAGGCTACCGGTCATTGTGATGGGTTCGGTTTTCGCCAAGAGAACCCAAATGGCTGTCGTCATGCCCTCACCCAGCTTCTTTTCCAAACACCCGCCTTTGGCCCATGATACACACCCACAGGCGCGTCTGCAATGCGCCAAATAGGTGGACCTGACAGCAATCGCTATTATTCCTTTGAATTTTAGGGCGCGCCAATTATATACACCCGTTTGGAAAGCCATCGTTCTATAACGCGCAGGGCGCGTCGCGGATACTATGACTTTAGGCGAACCAGAACCATTCATGGTCAACCACTGCGAGCAGACAGTCGCTGATAGAACCGGCTATAGCAATTACACCATGCACTATGACGGTACAAGACCCCTCATTACATTCTCTCCTACCCCTCCAGGCGTCCTCGTCTCATGAGTTGTGCCTTTCGGTTCACTCAAAAGCAGGCCGGCAACTCTGATGTGGACACTCAATGAGATACCGCGACCGATTTCGCTTCCCAGGGATCATGTCACAAGATCAGAAAGAAGGGTCTACGAGGTTGAAAGGAACACCCGGGTGGATGCCTTGCGAGAAGAACTTAACACTTTAACATTACAGAATACGCCGACCCTACCGCCAGCTCGCGTTGCGCCCGATACAGCCCTTCCTCGTACCACCAACTCGTCTCGCATCGAGCTTGCACCCGAAGTCTCAACCGCAAACAGAGGAGGAACATACGCAGCAGTGTTTGGGTCTGGGCCGCAGACAAGGATGACCGGTCACAGCGTCAGTGATGACCGGCGATTTGGTATCTATCTTGCTAGTGCGACTGCGAGCGAGAATAACCTCGCACTGCATCGACTGGCGGCATCTACGCTTCACGTCTTAGAGGGGCGGGCCGCAAGTCTTCCACCTACATCTCCAATGACAGTAGCGGCTTTGGAGCAACGTACACGTCGACCGCGAAGATCCACACGTCGATACAAACATCCCCCCAACCACGATCCACCTCCAGAGTACGTCGCATTCGATCCTTATCCCTTTTTTGATGCCAAACCAAAACCCCGCCGTCGATCAACGATAGAAATCATCGAAACCTGCTGCAGGGACGGATTCAAGGCTACGACAGGCAAGGTCGGCAAGAGTGTGGTCAAACATATCGAAGACGCTAGCAAGATAGCCAAGGATGTACCTACTGCCTTCAAGGAAGCTCAGGTGAAATTGAGTTTGAAGAGGGCCAAGGATAAAATACGATGGTTGGAGAAGCACCACTACCTGAGTGGGCAGGAGAGGTTGCTGACGCAGGAGCTCGTTGGCTGAGATGTTGGCAATGTCGAAGGACAAAACCTCCGACTGTGTTGTCAGCGTTTATGGGAACCTCATACTTTAGAAGAATATGAGTGGGAGTGTTATAGTAGCGTTGGTAATATTACTTGATTGAGCCTTTGTGGTGCCGATCCCAGCATCAGATTCACACTCATGATTTGTTCGACGTACGTGCGGTCGTTTGGTTCGCACAGCACTCTCAGCACTGCATCTCCTTCCGTTAAAGACTTGAGACGGCGTTGTGTATCCACCGCTGAGCCGCGATATTAACGAGATGTCAAGCAGGGCTTCAATCACGGGTAGTTCGTCGCACCAATCACCGCTTCCTTCTGAAGCAAGGCACGAACTACGCGCTTTGATGATCGCTCGCTCTGCGTCGTTTTGTTTGACAGGCTCGGACACGGAATCACTTTATCTAAAGGAAAGAACCGAGTGATGAGCTCATCTTTCAGCCTGCTACAAAGAACCGCCTCTGCAAGAGTGTTAAGACAGAATGCATTCTACATGTCTACATTGCCGCTAACATCGTATTTGTGTCTCCTTTTGTACTCTTGTAGTCTACAGTGTAGTAGAGGATCTAGGTGCCAATTTGGCGGTTTCTCCAGCTATTCACAAGCAGTCGTTGTTTAGTAAAATAAGCATGTCAAATTAGTGTCTCCAGGCAACTGTAGACCAAATCAACTAGGTCGATTGTGAAGTACATGGCAAGAGGTGCCACGTCAACTTCAATCATTTTGACTACTTTTTATGTTACATAATAAACCAGACTTATCCTCTCGCTGAATGCTGTTTTTGCCTCCGCCACCGCCACTCCCAAAGCCAGAACACCAACCCCACAAACCAGAACCAGACGAGGCAAGCTACTCGGTATCGGAACCTGAGGATGAACCGTCCGAAGCAGGAAGAGGAACGTTTCCATCCGTAAGACGCCTACCTCCCAATATTTCCAGTTTTCTTGACGGGAGAGGGGACATGGTCAAGTCCAACTTATCTGGAAACCGCTCGTCAATTTGTTCAAGAGCCCAAATGGCGAACTTCCATTCATCGTCAAACTTGAGAGAAGACTTGAAAATCTGGCAGGCTTCGCACATCGCCTTCGGGCCGCCTGCTGCCTTACGCGAACTACCCTGATTTCCCGTTAATATATGGTTCTCTTCCTGAACAACAGGCAAAAGATGGAATAGCCAACTTACTTTGAGCGCATTCAAAAATTCTTCCGGTACTTCGGGCTGGTTCTCGTCGATGTCCATGGCGTTCTCATCAATTTCTGTGGTGTTTTCGTCAACCTCCATACCGTTTTCGTCCAACTTCTTTCGAGCCCTGTACGCCATGTACGCCATGTACGCCTTGATCGCTGCTTAGAGCTTATCGGATCGAGGAATCGATGTATTGGGCGCAACGGTGCACTCGTTTCCTGGCTTCTTGTGATCTCACAGCACACATGTCCACATGTTATCCCATGGTAGCAAGAAAAGCGTAGATATAGTGGGATAGAGGTCGATTTTGCTTGGATCATCGTCGGTTGGAGTGATAACCACAACCCGGTCGTCTGGTAATTGTTTGCACGCCTGCAACGCTTGAAAACTCAGGATGAGTGCATTGTCGTTCCAGGAAGACAAGTCAGCGAAATTTTCAATAGTTGCATTCAATGGGATGGTTGATGCAACGCCCATGAAGTCCACTGCTAATTCGAACTCTCGAACAAAGGACAGATTTCCGACAAGTGATGCTAGTCTTCGTTCAGGCGTTTCGCCAATCAGTCCTTCAACGCTGTAGTCGCCTGTTCTGTTAGTCCTCTCGATATTGTTTGATGGTTCTAGAGACTCACCTCTCCTGAACATGGCCTGGTCCATCTCCTCACGCCAAATAGAGGTGTCGCTGGTTCGAGAGAGCCTTCCGTTCAGCATTGATTCGTGGAGAGCTAGCCAAGCAAGAAGGTCATGGTTCTCGGAAGTGCAGATCCCATGGTTGCCCAACATCTTGGTCGATGGTAGAGAGGTAGAGGTGATTAACAACCAATTCAGGAAATTATTGGTGGAGCGAAGAAGTTAAGAGGTTGTTGTAAGAAGCGTGGAAGCTGAGAGGTTGTTGTGATTATTATAGCGTCTTATCTGGTCGCGCTAGCTGCAAGGTGAGAGACGTCTAGATCTGTTCATAGATGTGTATTACCTGAGGTATCGCTAGGCGCCGCTAATCAGGACGCATGACTATATCGGAGATGATTGGTAATTCAAGCCCGAAGTCTCCGTCACCTCAGCAATACAGTGTTTGTAGCTCAGCGTTGAATCAAAAAAGGTAACGAGACTGCTGAGGAGATATTAACAGAATGATGAGACGAGTGTTTGAGAAATCTGGACCTTGCATGCAGATGGTGAAGCATTTTGTTGATCACAAAAGCAGTATCGATGTACTCCTAGGAATTTAAGTGACGGAGGAAAGTATAAAAGCCTGTCATGCAGATGACTATTTGCATCCTCGGTTTAGTTGCTAATACACGCAAGATATCCATAGGATCTACAGGCAAGTCACTAACGCCTATGAGGCTTAAGAAGTAGCCGAGTATGCATCACAGGTGCAAGAGTATGGAAGACTTATAATAACAGGCGGATAGCAATTGTAAGAATAGTGCTGCAATCTGCCTGCACATACAAGATGGAAATGTCATGATTCCAAAAACCCGGAACATGCTTTTAGTGCCCAACTTCTGGACTCAAAATGATGAATGCAAAGATAACTCAGTAAGTATGAAATAAATGATCCCAGAAATCCAAAACATGCTCCTTGTGCACAACTTTTGGACTTAAAATGATAAACGCAGAGGTAACTCGGTAAGCACAAGATAGAGCCGGTGCTCTACTCCTGTACGCTATAGTTGAAGGGGTTTGTCACAAGACTCGCGGGCCTCAATGTGTAAGACCTTTTCTACTGATGGGCGATATGGGTCTGCGTTTGCGTGGAGGCTTAGCAGATGCTCTATCTCGGTAAAGGAATATCCCTGCAGCAAACGTATCATGTGATATGGGTCATGTATGTGAGCGAAATCTCGATCCAAGTCGGTCGATAATGGAGGCGGAGGGGCATATTCCGGAGGCAGAGGGGCATACTCCGGCTGTGCTGTTGCGGCTCTTGTGTCCTGCAGCTGCGTTAATCAATGTCTTCAGTAGATCAGGCAAATAGTTCACCTTTTTGTTCGGGTCAAGAAGACCCAGATGTTCCAATGCACCGGCCCACCCCATTTCAAATGCCCTCCTGTTGCTGGCGATTAGTGCTTGACACATGTGATCCCTTCTTCCCATAGTGGCTTTTGCGTATATGGCGTCTTTGATGAGCTCTTCAGTGTCCACTTTAGGCTGTGCTGCCCTAACTTGTTCCAGTATTCTGTGGGCGCTCACCACCTTGTCGTTGAAGCCGTCTGCAGTCCTTGGATGAGGGGTGGGCGTGATGTGGAAGTACATGGATGCTAAGTCGATATTATCGATATAGAAATCGTCGAAAGGCAATGGACAGAAGTCCATATCCTTCTCTCGCGCAAAGCTATCGCTCCTCTTTTTCGTTTTGATAAGTCCTGCAAGAGCTCCCTTAGGTCGAATGCCACACGATTTTAGTGCTTGAAGGATTCGTACATACGTGGAGTGTTCCCAGGGAAATACTGGAACGTGTGTCGTAGCGAGAAAGGCCAGCCACTCTTTAGCGTCGTATGATGTTCTTACCAATGCCCTCAAGTCGGTCGATGTGGTGACAAGCAAATGCAAATAGGGTGCCGTTTGGATGATGTCTAGCATCTCCCTTGTGTCTTCGTGGTTTGCATCGTTCTTGTAATACTGCCATAGGGTTCGCCTCCTGTCATGCTTCATTACGAGGTATGTGGGTTTCTTTAATAGTTCGTCAATCTTTTCTCCTTCGGAGAATGGTGGCGTCTCCATCATCGTCATCTCTAGAGCCTTTGTTGAGTATGTCACCTCTCTCATCTCAAAAGGCTGGTTCTCTTCAAGCTTCGGCGCCTGGGACATTGTAGCGTCTGCCAAGTGATGTACTAGGCTCGTGGGCGCGGGAGAGGTGGATCACAAGGCTTGTCGGCGGGAGAGGCGGATTATGTGGCTCTAGAGCGTAGGAGAGGTCGATTATTAAGCTTGTAAGTGTGAGAGAGGTGGATCATCAAGCTTGTAAATGTGGGAGAGGTGGATTGTTAAGCTTGTAGGTGGAGGAGAGGTGGATCGTAAGGTTTGTCGATGCGGGAGGGGTAAGATTATGAGGCTTGTGGTCACGGGAAAGGTGGAGTAAGAGACCCGCGGCTCCAGGGAGGTAAGATTTCGAAGTTCATACCTGGGTGCAGGTGAGATGAGATTATAACGCTTGTAGGCGATGGAAAGGTGAGATTATAAGGTTTATGAGAGCGGGAGACGAGGAGTATGAGGCCGCGGCTCTGAGGATACGGACTTGGAGGCGTGGAGGTTCGTCTGAGGTGGCTTGCAAGATGCTCAAGTTCCCTCGAACCTTACCTAGGGCCGGAGCCTACATTGTCACGTGTCATCGCGTTATCGCGTCATGACATGGTGTCGGGGGAGATTCATAGGCACACTGTACGTTCTCGTAAAGTTCGCGAAGGGAACGAGTATGACGTATTGCTTACCTGACTACCCGGGATTCATGCAGGGAGCCTTGAAAATGTATTTTACAACGCCGATTGCCCGTCCTACGTACATGGACTATGCGCAGACTTGAATCTTTACAATCAACTCTTTCTATCTTCTCCAAGTCCCTCAAGCCTCGGATTTTACGCCTAGAGAGCAGTCAGGCTCCAAGCTTTACCTCTAGTATAGCTACCTAGGTAAAGGCTTCCACAGCCCATTGATTAGCTTCACACTATCTCTCCCACCCCTCGAGGGCTTCTGCTGCTAAAAAACTACCTCTAACACTGCTACAGCCTTCTACAACCTATTAATTAACTTTACGCTATCTTTTTCACCCCCCAAGAGCTTCTCCTGCCGAAGACCACCTCTTATGATATCTGAGTGCTTCTAAGACACAAAACTGATCGTCCAAAAGCTCATCCAAGCTAGAGAGCACCGAGGACGCACATGAAACCATTTCTGCCACCTGTTTCACATGGTGTGTTTGATCAAAGACTAAAGACGTCCACGATTACATAACTCCGCCCTCTGATCCATACTATTGGACTCCAAGATAGAAACCCGGAGTAGTACAGGCTGAACCAAACATCATCCCTAGTCAGTTGCTCTTTCACTCGTTAGCAGCTTGTGGAATGGCACAAGGCCCTCAGTTCCCTGGGATCTTCGAAGGCACAACGAATATCGGCGATTTCATCGGAGGCTACAAGATTGAAGATCCCAAAACATGGCCGTCCGCCACTGTCAAGAACCTTCCTCCTCAATGGGTTGGGCAAAGCAAGCCGCCGTCCTTTGTTGTTTACGACTACGCGACGATTCAGAGGTGGACGGACAGGTCGAGCATCAAGAACAATACGGCGGAAGCGAAGGAAGCATTCACGAACTATCCATCCAATTTCAATTGGAACGGAATGTCGTATTCTGTCCCGTTGGAAGATTTGTCATCAAAACAGTTGAAAGAGTGGAAGAAGAGAAGAACATCTCGGGAGGGAATTGCACACAACACAGTATATGCATGCTGTGTATTTGTATAACTCGGATGATTTGATATAGCTGACTCCGTAGTCCGGGAAACACGCCTCATCGCAAACCCCTAAGCCTGACACGCGACATTCTCACAGCACCAACAATTCTCCTCTCATGTTCCTGATCGTAGTAATGCTTAATACTTGTGACCCTTGACCACGATCTTACCGCCCTCACACTTGAGGCTGATCTCCTCCCCAAAAGTGTAGTAACCGTGTTGATCGGCTTCCGGGACGGGCTTTGGCTGTGGTGCTGGATCTGGCTTATCATCCTCCTCCTTCTCCGGCTGAGGGGCTGGGTGTTCGGGCTGCGGCTTAGGAGGAGTGGGGTGCTCGGGCTTTGGAGGCGGGTGCTCGGGCTGCGGCTTGGGAGGAGCGGGATGCTCAGGTTGTGGCTTAGGAGGAACTGGGTGTTCGGGCTTTGGGGGTGGATGTTCCGGCTTGGGAGGAGTTGGGTGCTCTGGCTTGGGGGGTTCTGGCCTGGGGGGTTCCGGTTTGGGGGGTTCTGGCTTGGGATGCTCCGGCTTTGGAGGTGGATGCTCTGGTTTCGGAGGCTCTGGTTTGGGATGCTCTGGTTTTGGAGGCTCTGGCTTGGGATGCTCTGGTTTTGGAGGCTCTGGCTTAGGATGCTCTGGCTTGGGGGGTTCTGGCTTGGGGGGTTCTGGCTTGGGGGGTTCTGGTTTGGGGGGTTCTGGTTTGGGATGCTCCGGCTTTGGAGGTGGATGCTCTGGTTTCGGAGGCTCTGGCTTGGGATGCTCAGGTTCTGGCTTGGGTGGTTCTGGCTTAGGATGCTCTGGCTTAGGATGCTCTGGCTTAGGTGGTTCTGGCTTTGGAGGTGGATGTTCTGGCTTTGGAGGAGTCGGGTGCTCCGGCTTCGGGGGTGGATGCTCTGGTTGAGGCTTAGGTGGATGGGGCTCATAGCCACCGTCATCGTTTTCATCTTTATCTTCTTCTGGTTTGACTGGAGGGTCTGGCTGTGGCTTGTTGGGCTTGTAGCTTCCGTCGTCGTGCTCGTCCTTATCTCCATGTTCTTTGCCATCCCCTATAGGTTCGGGTACATGAGGAACATCCACCTTTGGAGGGATGCAGATCTTGCTATGGTCGTACTTGTCGCGTTGCTCACAGCACCTTTGATACTCCTCAGTGGCCTTTGCGTCATCTCCACGGACGGCGATCGGCGTCGCTGCGGCAGTAAAGGCCAGAATGGCAACGACAGCAGCTTGAGTGAGACGCATGGTCAAGGTCGAGCAGTATTACGAATGATTGAGTATTTGGTGATCGAAGTTTGCTCGTGTAAACGAATGGTGGAATGCGGAGGACCGCAGTTACCGACTTTGTTGTATGATCGATATCCGCTTGGTGGCCGATGTCGAGACAGTGCAGGTTATCTCTCTCATCTTTATACTTGAACGATGCATTGTTTGAATCGTCCCTATTCCATTAATCCCTCTCTTCTTAGCTAGAGATATGCACAGTTACGTCTCAGAATATTGAATTTTGGCTTCAGGACGCCCCACGGTCTTGGAGCGCAGCCAAAACACCGTCGTGGCACTCTAAACCTTGAGATACGCATATCAGGCCCTCTTCCTAGAGCTTGAAGCTAATGATATGAAGTCATGATTTGGTGTTGGACATCGTTAGCTGGTGTAGTGAGAGAGCGAACATCGTGGTCGCTACGCAGGGAAATATTGCCCAGAGCTGCTTCATGGATCGGATTATACTCCACTGCGCTCAGAGAGGTCAGTTGCGAGAGAGATTCGAGAGTTTGCTGTGACGACTATGGCGGAAACATTCGAGTTCTCGTATAATAGCCTTGGCTGGCTCTACCCGTTGGTCAAGACAACTGCAAACATCGCGATCGCGGATGATCTGGTAGCACGGGAGGACATCTTCCAAGACGCCGTCGTGAAATCAAAAAGAAGGCTTTCTTGTACCGGATACGTCGGATGAAGATGGCGCAAACATGTGAGATGCTGAGAGGTTGGAGAGCGAAGCTCCTCAGCCGCGGACAAAGCGCCATCCGGGGTAGCGTCTTGGCGACGTGACACATCAAATTGCCGGACTGGGTCGGTACTGCTTCCCTTTCCATCGTCACGGTATTTAGACGATCACCTAGCGGTACATACTTCCAGTCCATCGGGTCGAAAGATACAACTCCAACCCACAGTACAGGCTGAGCACGAGCTACCATCTGCACATATGAAGAATGTGAAATCTGCTCTAAATTACCTGGGTAGGTCACGACTACCCACACCCGAGCGAAAGTGCAAGTAGCAACATTCGCAACAACCTTACCAAAGGGGCACTCTGGCCTCGAACCCCGCACCACATCTTGACATTGAGCGCTGGCTCAAAGTCAATAGTCGGATACTAAACCCATAGATCGCCTTGGCTGCTCACATACCTAAGAGGCTAGTGTGTTGCCAACACGGACTTTATTTCGAGCCATCCAAATTTATATACGCCCTAGCTGTAGCGGATAATTCGATTGGCTCGACCCCTAAAAGAGATTGATGTTGCATCCTTCCTATTAACGAAATGTTTGCCATGTGGTGGCGACTACTAGATTGGAGCTGAGAAGTCAAACCTTGTTACCTTCCTAGGTATCTATGGTAACAATGGATCATTTCGCTGAGCGAAACGTATCCGCGCTCAGATCTAGCCTCAGAGATGCCATCCGAGTTGGTCTATTGCAGTATCACATTGCTGTAATATTGGCAGTGTCCAGTTGCGAGGTTAGTATTTCTTTATCGAAGCTGTGGTCGGCCTAGGAAGTGAGGAGCTACTTGAGGCATACGTATTATCAAATCGAAAAACACTCTGACTGGATACAAAATTGGGTATGGCGTGGAACATCTGAATTTTCCGAGGATCCGTCTAGCGTTTGGCATAACGAACGCCAATTCGCACTAAGTTTTTGGAGTACATGCACTTGGTGCACACCGGTTGTGGGTAGATACCATGGTACTCTTCAGCCTATTGCATGTCTTCCCGGTGCCAACTTCTCTTGTATTCTGATACGACACGAATCTAGTTTCAGGCACGTACGTTGTGTCGATACTTTATGTTCAGACAAAACCCAATCGCAGAAGAGCAATCTGCTCCAACTCGAACTGATGCCTAAAACTTTGTATTGGCTGTTGATAGGGCTAGTTGACTGATCGTGTGGATTAGTGAGCCTAGAGAGGGTCGCACTTAGGCGTAGATATGCAATGATTTGACATAAACTTGAGATGTACAGCCTGAAATACCCACAGTAGGTACTTGGCAAAGACTGAGATGTACAATGACGTTCGTGCGGGGAAACTGACTTGTTACACTTGGTAGTCATGTTGTACTAAGATGCTAAGCACAAGTGCAGTTTTGAGTGTCTTCCAGTCCTACCATCAACCTGAAAGAATATGTAAGCTGAGTTCATGGACACGGAATCAAAAAGGTGCATACAGAGTAATCATCGCGCTGTTGTCAGGCTCATTCGTATTAACCAGGCTTCCCCGTGTACGGAGTTGTGTCACCTTAAAAACGCGCAAAGGAAGCTTCTTTGGTCTACATCTTTCCCTGAGCTGTATGGCAAATTACCGCTTTGGCTTCTCCCCGTTGATTTGTACAATATACAATATCAACATGGTGTCAGTGACCTCGGGTTGTAAGCGTCGTCGCTTGTAAAGATATAGGAGCACGATGAGAAAGCTGAAAGACGCGAACTGGACCTTGAAATCGACATCATCGACGAACGCTAAGCCATAATTGAACCTAGAAGCGATGCACGCGAGCATTTACGACAGCGCATTACTGCTGAGGGCGCATTCGCCGCCTGTGAAGAAGAGAATCTCGAGTTGAAGCAAACCTTGGAAAGCTTGATTTTATTAGCATGAAAAACGAGGCATTCGAAAAAAAGCTTCCGGCACAGGATAAAGTAATTCACTGAATGCAAGCAAAGCAGGATAGACAGAAGGGTTGAAGGCATGATCGAGATAAGCACAAAGCTCACATATGTGCGCTGAAAACTGCTCGATCATATGGATCCAGTTCAGGTGAACAGGGAAGTAGGTTTCTAGGCACTGGATTAAGTCAAAACATAAATAATAGGGGATGCATCGGGAGGCAGCTTGAAGAGCATGTTGGATGCAATGATGGCGATGTTCTGAAGAAGTCGAGAGGTCGTCCTGTATTGGATGTGCTCCTTGTCGGTCAAAAAATGATGATAGTCCTAGCCTTCCCAGAGTAAAGTAACGTGTGACTAATATACCCAATCATACTATATCATCACACACTAGATGTACCAATGACAATGTTGTTTTCAGAATTATCATTCATGCTATCTGGCATACACGCCATCGATCGCATGTTTCGCGTTGATTTCCCATCGCCGTGCTCAATCGAACTATGCACTCGGTCCCTCTCTTCATGTTCTAACCCATCATTCCGATGACAGGGACCGTAAAACTATGCCATGAGAGGAGAACGAACAAAGCTCGCATACATGATATAACCAAAATTCGTAGAACCGGGAACAGGAAATGAGTGATTAAAGAAACGCAAGAACGCCATCATGAAATATCTCATCCATCTCGTCACAAGGTGCGACTCTCACCAATCTTTCGCGAGTGACAATGGCTGTCATGTACCGCCAACCGTAGTTGTGTTTCTTAAGCCGCTTGGCTCAGGACCCTTCTTGTTTCGACGACCGAGTAATGTCGAGCTGTCCATGTTGAGCTCAAATGCGCCCTTGTTCCTGACTTGGCGCTTCGCTGCAGCCGCAACAGCTGGAGAGTGTTGGCCATATCCTCGCTCTTGCTGTCGTGGTGCTGATTGTTGCTGGCGGGCCTGAGCTGCGGCGGATAGTGTGGTGGTGCGCATCTTCTGCTCCATACCAGTGACATCAGCACCTTGAGACTTAGGGAGCTTCGCTGGTGGATGTTGCGATGATGGGTCGTATGGGACAGATTCAGCAGCATACTCGTCATCGTCTTCACCCTCATCGAGGGCGTTCAACGAGTTCATGGCGTTGGCGCCACGGTAACCCTGCTTGAACTGCTTCTTCCTCTTGCCCTCCTCTTCCTGTCGATGTACAGCATAACTGACATCGAATACTTCTCGGAGGTTGACGGCACCAGGAGAGCGGAAGTCCATGCGACGAGCACCCGGTGACTCCAAGTGCGAGAAGTCTGGTTGCAGACGCTCCTTTTTGGCGGCAGGTGTGGCGAGGGGTGGTGCGTCGTAGGCAGAGTAGGTTGGCTCATCGGCTTCACGTATCCATGGGTGGTTGAGGAATTGGTTGATGTCATATCGCTTTTCCGGGTCGACTGTCAGCAGATGGGAGACCAAGTCTTGCGCGGACTTAGAGATATCGTCCCACCAGGGTGAGAGGAAGGTGTACTGGCCACGAGCAACCTTCTCAGTGAGGGTTTGGATGGACTCGTCGTAGAACGGCGGGAAACCACAGAGAAGTGTGTAAAGCACACAACCCAACGCCCACATGTCGACACTCTTAGAGTAACGCTCATCCTTGACAATCTCAGGTGCAGTATAGCCGACAGTACCGCAAGGTGTCATGGTTTGCGTGTCCCAGATAACCTTGCTAAGGCCGAAGTCGGCAATCTTGATTAGGCCGATACCACCAGCGCCCTTGCCCTTGACGAACTCTCCCTCGTCAGCCTTGTCTTCATCGTCTGGTCCCCTTGGCTTTGGGTTGCGTGTGGGGATGAATGGTGTGGGATAGAACAAGAGGTTCTCAGGCTTGATGTCTCTGTGATATGACGTCAGTGAGAATGCTTGGCATCGTGACAAAAAATACGAACCGATGGACAACACCTGCTTCCTCGTGCAGGTACTGCAGAGCCTTGGCCACCTGAATGATGGTGTGACGGGAAAGGTCCTCGGAGAAGTACGTTAGACGGACGATTTGGTGGAACAGTTCGCCTCCTGGGCACAGCTCGAGCACGATGTAGTAGTACTGCCGTGATTCGGAAAAGTCGATAAGTTTGACGATGTTGGGGTGGTCTAGTTGGCGCATAATCTGTACTTCCTTGAGGATGTTCGCTCTCTATAGGGCAGTTAGTGTCTGCCCTTGCAAGCCCAGTCGTGATGGGGTGGAGGATGCTCAGAGTCGAGCATCGGGGGTAAGATTATCGCACCTCGGCTGCTTTGGGCGTCTTGAAGTCCGGATGCACATGCTTGTCCTACACCGGCCTCGCGTTGGTAACGTCCAAAAACACCCGACTGTTCAACGTGATGGGGAAAACAACAAGGGAATGTGCAGGGAAGGGCAGGGATTGGGTAGTACTAACCTGCTGTGAGTTCATCTCGAACTTACGGACGACCTTGATGGCCACTTCATCCCATTGACCGGTCGTGTCTCGTGCGCGATATACGTTGCTGAAGGCGCCGTCGCCCATCTTTTCGAGCAGCGTCCATCGCTCAAGTCCGGGATATCTAGGCAACTTGCCCTTGGCCTCGCGCTCCTCGGCGACAATGCGCTCGAGTACTGATGGGTCGACGCCTGCGTTCTTGGCAGCGGCCTGCTTCTTCTGGTCCTTGGCAGCTGCGTGCGCAGCGGCATCACCTGCTTGGGCGGCAATATTGCGGTTATCTCCAGCGCCAGCGCCGACGGAGAAGTCGCCATGGGGAGCAGCATGGTTCTGAAGCGGCTTGTGGTCCATTACGGGCTCTGAGATGCCATGATGTACTGGGTCCGGGTGCTGATTGTACCGTTGATGTTGAGACTGAGCGTGCACATTGGAGACATTGGTCGTGGGCTCCGCGTTCTGGCGGGCCTGCTTTCCATGTCGCAGGAAGTTCTTAAAATTCTGTATCGCGGCCATGTTTAGTGTCTGGTTGGGGGGGTAGAAAGTTGAATTACAAAGCCGCTGTCAGTAGCGGGGTCGAAGAGGCTGCGATGGTGCAAAGTAGAGGAAACAAACGGGTGCAGCCGTTTCTTGTGGCAGAGAATAGACCAGCGGTAGTGCGACAGAAATGCTCGTGCAGTGAGGGGGGAATTCAAGGAAGAGACTTGGTTGGAAAGAAGGTCATGCATGGACGAGGAGGAGTGAAGCCGGAACAAGAGAGGAGCGACGTTGCGTCATTGGTGCACGGACTTCATGACGATGCAGGCTACATCATCGCCAAACAAGCTGCACCACGCGCACACGAAATGATAGGCGTGGCGCCTCGAGAAGCTTCTAGCATTTGCAGTGTAGAGGAAGAAATATATCGTACCTCGATTACTGGGAGGCCCATCTTCTTGGTGCGTCCGCCTCGTGGAGAGGTGTTTTTGGACTGCATGTAGAGATTGGGATCTCGATGGTAGCCCTGGAGTGCTTCGTTCGTGCCCTACCGCCTGGTGGAGGTATGACGCTCGTATTGCGATTCCGCGTCCCGTCTGGGAGAGAGATCTTACGGCTTCCGCTAGCTTGGGCAAGGGTTTGATTCGAGGGTGAAAGGGAGCACCGTTCCTGGAGCCTGACCTGCTCAGCGGAAGGATCCGATCTCGATGATGGCTGGGGGCGGCGTGTGAGTCGTGATATGGCAAGACAGGCGCGCGATGGGGACGGGCAAGTGCGGCGGTATGATGTAGTAGCAAGAGGAGGAAGAGGAAGAAGCCTATGTACCCTTTGAAAGCGTTTTGCGCAAAGTCATGTTATTTGTCTTTTGCTTGGACAAGGCGACTGCGCTACCTCCGCGCGAATACTCTTCAGCAATAGTGGCACACGCTGACGCCCGCGGAATCTCCGGCAGCCTCCTCCCAGTTCCCAGTAGACTCGCAGAGTCGAGCCTGGCACCATCTAGAGGCTGAGAGGCTCGCTAGGGACGCTACCGCCGACGCCACGCTGCATGCAAACCTCATTACGACCTTGGAAGAGGGTCCCCAGACGGCCTGAAAAGCGCCCAATGACCGCATATAAGACCAAGGCAGCACCCATGATGCTTTGTGGGTAGCAACTATGGCAATCTCCCATGCATGCGTCCTCCCAGCGCCCGCAATTCTAATTTCTCCCTCTGAGCAGTGCAACGGCCTAGCAACCTGCAGGGTCCAATTAGCGCAGCGGATCCGTTACGTCACCGTCTAGTGGGGAACGTTCATTGAAGACGTCAATCTTCGCCCTCTTGACATTCTGGGCTGAAACATATCCGCCGCTTACGGCGTCTTCGCATATTGGCCATGACCCATTTGCAGATCGCATTGGGCAGGCCACGAGACCTCTTACATAGGATACATCCAGTACGTCGCTTTAGTGTCGGTCCAATGCCACGGCCTCGCGCATGAAATTCGGACCGTCCATCTATCATTGCGCGTGCTTTCTGCGTGATATGCAGGGTTGCGAGCGGAGCCGACATGGACATTCGGCAGCAAAGTCCCCGTCAGAATTTGGGCTGCAATGAATCTGATCTAGCAACCAAGAGACCCTTTCCCACACCATCCTCGTGGCAATCATCTGGACCCTCGATGACATGACTAACCCGGCGGTTCCGTCAACGAGAACCGCCGCTCTAGGCTCATATTCCTCGAAGCCTAGAACAGCAAATATACTGGGTTGAAATATAACTCAACAAGCCATGTTTGTTCAGTCAAGTAGGTGCTGAGAACAATCCTACGCGTTCAATATCACTAGCGAGCCGATAGCCGTACGAAGCCAGGGAGCGGCTCGGAAGGGACAACATGCCGCACTTAGCAGCAGCTTCCACTCAACATTAATAGAGTTCATGCAACATCTATTGAACCAAACTTTTCGACACGTGAGTCAACCCGCATAGCAAGACAACTTGCGAATACAAAATTGGGGGATATAGTGCTCGTTACTAGAGCGATGTTAGATGACGCTAGAGGTTTTCAGCACATTTTCAAAAAAGAAAAAAATCTTACGGTTCTACAAGTCGTCCTAGTGGCTACCTGCTCAATCCATTGTTTACAGTAGTTCTCACTTGAATACTCTTTTGAGTAGTAAAGAATGAACACATTAGGCATACAGAAATCGTAAGTCTAACATCAATTACCTATCGGCGACTACTATTGCTACTACTATAGTGCTTCACACCTCTCACACGCACAGTCAAACCCCCACGTCTTCTTTAACCTCAACAGTCTCTTACCACGACTCAGCTTCCTCTCCTCCCCGCTAAGATATGTAATGCACAGTTCCTCTCCTTTCCCGATGTCTCTCCCAGCTTTGAAATACCATGTCTTGCCATTCCTATTCTTCTCAATGTTCGGCCCGCACGAATGGTTGAAGTAGCTTGCCGCGGGCCAGCAACCGTATCCGAAGAACTCTGAGCCGTCATCTTCCAGGGAGCGAATACCGAAGGAGTTGTGCGAGTCGCGGGACGAGAGCGTGATTAGCGTCTCTGCCGTTACAAGTGGTAGGAGCGGTAGGGGAAGGATCGCAAGCAGATGTAAGTAGGTTCTTATAAACGCGCCGAGATCGTCGGAGCTGTGGTAAGGAGTCTTGTCGTCTGCGAGTGCCTCCAGGCGTTCCCATTGCTCGGGATGAAGGTATCGCCATACCAGGCCACTCACACAAAAGCTCATCACATCAGGTGTAATGTTAGCTTGTAGTGCTTTAGACACAGCCTTCTTGTGCTGCTTTGTGATTGGAGCCACATCCTCCTTGTCCGGTATAGCTTGTTCGCTTACCCGTGCGGCCCGTATCAGCGCCGCCTGCGCAGCAACATTCCCCCAAGCCTGCTGAATCTCCTTGACCTTTGGTCGTGGTAGGTCGGCGTCCACCATGTCGCTATCCTCCTTGCTTCGCTTTTTTACTAAAGCCTCGACAGCCGTCCACGCTTGAACACCAATCTCGCCGTTCTCTTCTCGCCATTTGTCCTGGCATGCCTTTGAGCAGAACGCGAACCCCACCGTCTTGTCTCGTATATCCAGATCCCGCCCGTATTCGTATCCGAAACACTGTCCACATACTTCGCGTCGATATTCGCGGAGGAGGACGTTGAGGGTCAAATCTTCTGAGCGCCACACAAGTGTGCCCTCTGGGATGTCTTGACTAGCGAAAACGGCGCGGCCGGCGGTCGGTGTGTGTCGGACTTGGAAGAGAGAGGATATCGGTGCGCCCGCTGGCAGATCCTTGGGTGTATCGGGCGGATGTATCGAAGAGGCTGATGAAGGGCGTGAGACACTGAAGACCGAGTCACTGGCTACAGGGACAGACGAGTCGCTTTCGGGGGCGTCCATTGCAGCGGTATCGATGAATTAGTAGCACACACACACACACAAGCGGACTGGCGGGTGAATAAATCGGCGCTCCGTTCAGGAGTCAAAAAGCAATCGTATCCCGCGGAGTATGCGGTGAACAACTATGCCCCTCGGTGTCTAGCAAAGGGCCAGGCAATGGATGACAAACTGTCGCGTGGATTGTGGGTCAATTTCGTATGTCACGTATACTTATGCCAGAGTTGAATGATCGGAGGAATGCCATTGTGGGTATAGGTACGTGGGTTGTGGGTACGTTATCGTGACTGTTGATCGACAGAAGGCGAGAGATTTTGTGACGGTTGTGCCTGGCCAGACTTCAGACTAGACTGTACAGGGGCGCCGTGCTTAGCGCACGATAAGCGAGGCCTCGCTGTGGTCGTGATCTGGAACTTCTCGGAACAGAACTCACCACTTTCGGAAGACATCTGGACACTAGATCAATCACAAAGCTCAATCGAGAGCACTTCCTCTTTTGGATCAGCCCGTGCGCAAGCGTCGTGATGATTTACTTTGTTTATTTGCGACTCGCAACCATATTCTCAGACCCCAAAGTCTTTGCTAATCTCCCTCCCCACAGCCTTCAAGTTCTCGACAATCCACAACTGTGCGTTGCTGAAGACCAACACAGCGCCTGGCAGGAAGGCAAAGTTGTTTGTCTCAACACCAACCCAGATCTTTCCAATTAGCGTTCCCAGGGGATTCCAAATGTGTATGCCGTCACCACATCCAGCCCAAACATTACCCTCCGTATCTGTGTGCAAACCATCAGGAAACCCGTTGTCTGAGTAAGCGAATGTGCGTCTTCCAGTCAGCCTCTTTCCGTCTTCCGTAATATCGAAAGCGTATAGTGTTGCTGGCCGCGTAAGGTTTTTGTCAAACTCCACAGCGCCGGTGTCAGAAACGTATAGCGTCTTATAGTCAGGGCTGAACTCAAGGCCGTTGGGTTGAGTGAATCCATCTGCCACAGCAGCAATTTCACCAGTCCCGGGAGAGAAGCGGTAAACATGCTTGGGGATGGTCGGTGCAGGTCGGAAGTGTTGGATGTAGCCATAGTCCGCGTCTGTGAACCAAATGTCGCCTGTCACAGGATGTTGACGTGCGTCGTTGGGTGAGCTAAAATTCCGACCAAGGTAGTTGTTCAGGATCTTTTCAGACTCGCCTGTGACGGGGTCTACGGATACCAGACCTGCTGGGTTGACTAGATCACCTTGGTCACAGTACAAGACGCGTGATGGGGTCGAGCTGTTGGTCTGGGTACCAGGTGGATAGTAGGACGTTGCACCATTAGCTTCCGCAAGAGCTGAGTACCGTGTTGAGCTGATAGAATAGTTGTTTGCCAGGTCGATTATCGTAACGTTGATGGGGTTGTTCAAGTCGCCGGCCCAGTTGCTTGTGACGTAAAGCTTCTTTGCATCCCTATTGTAAACACCGGCCTCGTGGAAAGCTTGCCAATCGAGATTGTGAAGTTGTCGCGCTGTTGCATTCTCTCCGACCACAGACACGAAGCTTTCATCGTATGCGAGAAGGTTGATGACACTGGGGTTGGAGGCATTGGTAGTGACTAGAGTATTCAGGTACGACGGGTCCGTCGCAAAGGATACCAGGTCCACGGGGATGATGCTCGACATAATGTTCGTAACGATGGTGACGATTATTGTTTTCCAAATCACCGCCACCTGGGCTTCCATTTCTTGTTATAGTTTTGTCGCCGATCGTCGCGCCAAATAGCACTCGGTTCTTGTCAATTACGCTGGCGCGTCATCTAGCCGCCAAGTAGCCGATCCATGGATACAAGCCATATGCCTAAGTAACGGTAATGAGGTCGGACGTTGTTTAGCTTGGCTATAAGCTTGGCTTGGTTGCTTGACTCGGAGCAAAGTGTAGGTTGCCGCGGCGTTTGCCCCGGTAACTGCTGGTCGGCAATATGGTTCTCCTCCGAACGATCGCTAGCATAAGGCTTCTTATACTATTACCGATGCTTGTTGCTCCTGCATCACTGATAGGTGCTTTTGCAAGGCTGAACACCCAATGTTGAAGTCAGTCCCTAGTATTTTTGATGGATTTTCGTCAGGCGCATGACGATGACATCATTATCACCGCGGTTACACCGTTAGCTTAGTCAAACTTTTACCTCCTGTTTAATGTAGATTTGTCTGTATCTGACCCAAGCGCATAAGCTGGCTGCGGATTGTTAATTGGTCCCTGCATTTCCATTGTTGATAAGCCATATTCTCCGATCAGATTGCCTGTTCTAATATTCAGATACTTATCCATTAACTGTGGTTCACTCGCTCAGCGCGCTGCTGTAATAGCGTATACAGAGATATTCATGCTTGTTTCATTACGTCGCCAATAGCGTCAGCTCCCTTTCCACCACCTCTTAGCTCCTTGTTCGTTGCCTGAATCAATACTCTCCGGTAGCTTGTTAGAGACGGCGTCCCGTCATCGGTAACTTCAAGTATCAGATGAAGCAGTTGACCTTGAGCAACCGGCTTTCTGCTCATCAGCTCTACCGCGCACTTCTCAGGCGGTGGAAGCGTAATCTCGACCTTTCTGCCCTCGTCGTCTAGCTTCTTGATTCCGAGTTCCGCAACTTCGGCATCAACCCACCATTGCGTAGCTGTGGGTTCACGATAATGCCACCATTTGAACGTGAGCTTTCTGCCATCAGGATCGTAAGTAGCAGAGGCGTCAAGAAGGACGGTTGATCCGGCCTCTGCAGTGATCTGCGCAGGTGCCAAGCCTTTGAAACCACTGATATTGATGACTGGGTGATGGTTCGCTTTTGCAAAGTCAGACTCCATGCTCCATTTGATACGCGCAGCAAAGTCATTCTGAAACGCATCGCGCCAGCGCCAGATAGTCGCATGATTCGATGTGTAGGTCTTATCACCGACTTTGACTCTGTCCACCACATCACTGTAGTGGTTGCTGTTCAGTCCCTCGGCGCTGACATCAGTCCGTCCATAGCGACCTCCCCAAGATCCGTAGTTCGGGCAATCCGGTACACCTAAACCGTTTTGGATGAGGTAGAGAAACGTCGGTGTGTCGCCTTCCGGAATGAAAAGATAGTCAGGGTACGCGCTTCCAAGTGGCCCAATCTGGATGTTATCCTTGATCCAACTCTTTTCCATTTTGGAGAAGTCCGGCCCACCCTCATCGAAGCCGTAGTACTTGTCGCCGGAGATACCAGTCCATGCAGCCATACCATACTGGTTCCAGCCGTGGATGGAAGCGATGTAGAAGACGTCAGGGAAGTTGTTGCGAATCCACGCGCCCGTGTCATCTTGGTCGGAGATGGCGTAAACACGTAGACGTGAGAGCAGGCGCTTGGAGTCCTCAGGCTCGAAATCGTCGTCTACTTTGAGCAATGCCGAGGCGAGTGTGTTTGTTCCGCCCCAGCAAAGGATCCACAGCGGCTGTGTGGAGGGTGCGATGATCCGATCGTACAACAACTGACCACCTGGAGACAGTGGGATGTCTGTGCCAACAGCAGACATGCCGTAGGTCTACACACTATCAGCGCCATTCGCAAGTGACACGTTGCATGTTGTTTAGCAAATGGAAGCATACCTCGGCGCCCTTGCGGATCAACCCACGCATATGGTCTGCGGTTGGGTATTGCCATTCCGGGTGTACGTGCTTATTTAGGTTGTCAACAACGTCGGCATATGCGTCGATGATTTTTTCCATGTCTTGCGGGCACACTCTGTTCTTCATCCAGGTGCTTGTACAAGCTACAAGGCCCTGTGTATCGAACTCATTGGAGTACAGAAGGTATCGACATAGCGATTCGGCATCATCCGGTTCATTAGAGATGTCGGATAAGATGAACACGCGGGGCTTTTGCGCGTATGTCTGGAGTCTCTCGGTAGCCATATTGGATGATCTAGTTTCGGGCGATAAGGAGGGCAAGGTCGACTACGAATATAATGGAAGACAAGCTTCTGTCTTCATGCTGTTGAGCTGTTGTGGTCCTTCGATGTTAGACAAAAAGCAACCGAAGTTGTACCACGACGTCTCACAAAGGTGGGGCGTTGAGCAGCGGATGCGGTGTCCTTAGGCAGCCCCTTCCGTCTGGAGTAAAGCCGGCTATACTTTCCACCCGTCCTTCTCCGCCTCAGGTTGCCCCTCACCATCTTCTGAATGGACTTGGTGGCAGTCGCCTCACCATCCGCCTCGGACTCTTCACAACAAGATGCGAAATAGCCGTTGCCACGCATTCTTAGTGTAGTGCGGCTCAGTCGTCTGCGCCACAACTAGGCTGCATTAAATCGTAGCTCAGCCTTGCATGCTATGACGTCCTTCAATCTACCTGCCCCGCTTCAACACCACCAGCCACGATCAAAGGACAGCAATGTAATTCAGGATTCAGGCGCCCAGTCACCCAAGGCACGACCATACATTTGTGCCGCTAATCCGTCCGCCAAGAATGAACGATCATAACCCTTTGACGTATAGCATCCGGTAGGAGGTAGGCTGTGTTCCTTGCTGCTTCCTTGATATCTAGCGCACGTACTACGCCCATATCGTTACTGCTCACAGAGATATCAATCCTAACACCGTATTCCGACATGTCAATCCATAACAAGATCCAGCAGGCAGCCCATCAAAATGAGCAACTCCTCCGCGGGCTAGAGGAAACCGACGCTGCACCCTCACAGCTCAAGCAGCAGAACGCATACATTGCTGACCTCGACTCGCAAATCAACAACACCAGAAAGCGTGTCAACGACCTAAAAAAGAAGACTGCTAGTGAGCTAAAGGATCACGAAAAGTACCGCGACTCAACTTTCCGCCGTTTTGCACACAAGGCCAGCGGCAAGAAGGAGAAGTTTGCCGAGAAGGCAGCAAAGGAAGAGAAAGAGTACTTTGATGCGATCCAGGAGCAGAAGAGTGCCGAAGACGAACTAGCCTACGTCAAGCAACTACGTGACGAAGCTGAGATACGCAAAAACGAAATTACATCGCAATCTAACCGTCACGATACCCTACAAGCCGAACTCGATGCGCTTTACAACTCAATCTTCGCCGGCCATACGCCCGAATTCCCCGATGAAGACCGCAAAGAAGAGGCTTGCAACGCCGCATCTGCCCAAGTCCAGAGCTTGAACCAACGCCTCGAGCGCGAGCGTCACATCCTTTTCCTCCTCGGACAAACCGTCGTCAAGCTCTCGGCGGCGCGTGAATATCTCGACGGCGCGTACGGCATGAGTCAATACGATATGTTTGGTGGCGGAACAATGGCCAGTATGCAGAAGCGCAATTATCTCGAGCGCGCAGAGAGCGCTATACAACAGGTGCGCATGCTACAACAGCAGGTCAAACAAGTCGCGCCCGAAATACCCGGGCTGGGTCAACTCAACATTGCAATGGGCAGTATCTGGAGTGATGTAGTTTTTGACAACATCTTCACGGATATGCAGATGCACGATCAGGTCAAGCAGTCTATTGTACAGGTTGACCGTGCAGGCAACAAATGCAGCGATATCATTAGGCAGCGCGAAGCGCAGGAGAAGAGTCTGCAGAGGGAAGTGGACCAGGCAAAAGCCAAATTGCAGCACTCGAGATTAGAGCTACAGCAAGCGCGCGAAGAGGCGTTCAGGAGGGTACTTGGTGGTGCGCAAGCAAACGCCGCTATGGGAGGTTTCATGTCTTCGGGTGATGAGGCCCCTCCGCCTGAGTATACTGCGCCGGCCGGCCCGCCACCTGGGTACTCGGCTTGAGCAGCATGTCGTGCATGTACTTGTTGATACGGGGGATGGCGGAGCCTTCATTCGGGCCGGATACCCTGGTACTATGCTTAGTATGCTATAGGGGCTCGGCATAACTTCAGTTCTCGTACAGTAGATAGAGGATCCTTATATGATTGCACATGAAGCTCGTAACGATATGCGTACCTCGGTAGTTTCGTAGTATAATCAAAGACGTGAAAACATGTATTTACGGCTCAGAAGCTGAAGCGAAGCACTGGCAAGAGCTTTACGTCTAGCATTCTATAATTGCGGAATCTCGTATTCGAGAGGATCTTTCCGTAGGGGGTTCGACGGGTCTATCGCAGAGACGCCGCAGGCATACAATGTCACTTGAGTTGTGATGCACGACAGGACATGGTACCTGACCACCATTGTGAAATTGGCCGCTGGGTCTTCTGATGAGATAACTCTTCAAGAACATTCGATGACATGGGAGAATGCATGAATTGATAAAGTACTATATGAGATGCTCCTATATACACTCCATAATTATGTTGTTGATTACACTTGACTACTCTAAATGAAAGCATCAGTGAGGTAGGATTCGAAGTTGCTGTCCCGGAAGGATGGTGTCGCGTCACCAAAGTCTGTGTTCTCAATCGCACTCTTCGCCGCGGCAGGCATGCTATCCCACGCAATCACCGGCTGCTCTCCACCCTTTGTGGTTGTAGAAATAAGCTGGTGGTTGACAGGGAAAATGGACCTGTAACCAATGAGGGGACGAGTACCGTCAAGGTTCGGCTTAGTAACCTTTTGGTAGTCACCATGAGCAGAGATGGCGACGCCGCGGATAGTGGCGGTGGTGGATTGAGCTGACAGCCATACCACAATGTTCTCCCAATCGTGGCGGTGGCCGAGACCAGGGCCAGGGCTGTCTTTGGGCATGTACCACGAGTACATGATGGCGTAGGCGCCGTTGTGAGCGCCGGCACGGGCGTAGACTTGGCCGGGGCTAGAGCTGCACATTCCTGAGGGGTCGCCAGAGGTGGCCAGGCCGCCGCTGTCGTGAACTGTTAGCCTACAGTTGTATAGATGCGTGTACGAGAACTTACCCAGTGTCACCTGCGGCATTGACAGCAGGGAAAGGAACGCAGCCATTCTCGACCTTTAGGAAGGGTTTGTACTTCAGCATGAGCTGGCCTACGATACCAGAGGGGACAGTTTCGGGGAAGCCAACAACAGCATCATGATTGATGACAGCACGGCTTTGGAGATTGACAGGTGACGCGAGGACGACACTCGCGGCTGCGAGGAGCTGAAGGGCGAAGTTGAGCATCTTGATCTTGACTGTAAAGTGAACGAGCGTAGAAGCGAATGTCAAGGTAACTGTCTAGCGAGTGACGAACGTCCTTGAGCCGGTAATGAGTTGGCTTGTTCTTCGTGATATGTCGGGTACAATGGGTTTTATAGGAAGTGATTCGAGTTGTCTTCGGCTCTTTCCGGTGTCTTGCTCAGCGAGTAATCGTGTTTTCCCCTCTATATCTCCCGAGGTCTCAATGAGGAAGTTCACGATGAGACTAACGCAAAGGCGAAGTGCTGAGGACCGTGGACAGCGCGTGTGCAGCGCACATGCCCTAATATACTAGTAACGATTGGCCGTTCGTTACGCTACCTTGGATACGTAGCAATGTTGCCGACGTTGTCACTGGGGTACCTGCAGCACACCGGCGTCCGGCACGGGACGACTCAAGACGTGCATGTCTACGCTCGGAGGAAACATCTGCGGACGGTAACGCAAGATGTCGATCGAACAGATTGAGGGCCAGGATGGTGCTTTGCTGGCGAATAGGAAAAAATCGCGTGGTTGATCGTGACCGAACAATTGGTCCGTGGCCGAGGCTAAGCCGAGACCATATCAGGCAGGTGCAGGGGAGGTGAACATAACGTGTGGGAGCAAGTAGAAACAAAACAAGAAATGCATCAGGTTTATGGTAGCAGACACGGAGATGGTGACGCGTTGGCATGGGCTGGTTGGAGCATTAAACATACCTACAGTCACTGGAGGACACAATGCATGATGGCGGTTATCGAACGGAAAAATGGGTGATCATATTCCGCGATGCAGTCAATCATCCGAACTGTCTCCAGACAGTATTCCGCTGATCTTTTGGTGGTGTGTCGGGGCCTGGCATTAGCTCACGGAGCATGTCGTTAATGTCCAGACCTCGCTCCTGACAATCATGCCACTGTCTTGGGTATCCCAGACTGACCTCTTCAAAGCGCGTATCGTCTATCCAGTCTGTTCTCCTGATGTGCAGATGGCCAGAGACGACGATTTTCGCGTTGTATTTGTTGTGCCAGTCTTCCGTCTTCTTGGTGCCGCACCACAGTGAGAAGCGTGGGACTCTGAAGAGTTTCACCAGGTCTTCCCGGAGCGGCCAGTGGCCTGCTATTATCAGTGGGATATCTGGATGCGCTGCGACGGCAGCCGCGAGCTTCTTCTCTGTCTTGTCGAGGAGAGCGTTACACCATTCGATACGCGACGAGTAGGGATCCGGATGCAGCAGGTGCTCGTCGGTCGCTTCTATGTCTTCCTCCCTCGCCCAGTCGAGAGCATCTTCTAGCTTCACATTACTGGGTCGGAAGGAGTAATCATACAAGGTGAAGATGGGTGCAATGAGACATGGGCCTCCCTCGCCCTCCCACAAAGTGTATCCATCCTCAGGTGTGAGAATGCCATACTCGCGCGCAATGGCGACGCACTCCATGTATTTCGCCTCGCCTCTCGCGCCGTGGTCTTTCTCCGAGGGAAGCGTATATAGCTCGTGGTTCCCTGGCACCCAGAAGACCTGGCGAAAGCATTCCTTGACCTTGGTGAAGGCTATGCGGCAATGCTCTGCGGACTCGCCGACATCGCCGCAGAGTATCAGGTCATCGTGCGGGTGCGGGAGGAGCTTCTCGAGAGCTTCGCGGTTGCCTTTGAAAGAGAGGTGTATATCGCTGATACCCCAGAGACGGCTCGCTGGAGGTGTTTCGGCGCATGGCGGGGAGCTAGGTGGGGTACGCGTCGCGTCTGAGGCTGCGGCGGCGGCATCCGCAGCGGCGAGGAGAGGGTCCATTGTGGCGGGCGACGACGGTTGACTACACGTTAGCGGCAGCGCGTGGTGAATTTTATATGTTTATGGCGCCTCCCAGAAAGCGACGTGTCGTAAAAGAAACTACATCATAGTCCGCTTCAAATCGCGTCCGCCGTTTCCATAGGCTATTATTATCGATTCGCACAGACCAGTAAGCTGTCAATCCTGATGACAGGACAGGCCTGCTGCATCCGCTCATCTATCTATCAAACATTAGTCGTTTGCTCAAGCCACGTACATTCGACATATAGATGCCAGCTGCGCGGCCTCTGGACACCGGATCCCCGCTGCCTACCGGCTCACACCGCAAACATCAGGCGATAGACATTTGTTCGAGCTTCACTGCTGACGTGGATGAATCCCACCAATTATCATTCCAAGAATTGCATCAACACTTGACAGTAAACGAATTTCCTGCTCCACAGGTGTTCCAATTGGAAAGAAACGCGTACGGTTTGTTCCAAGACAGACACATGAGATACTATGAGTTGGATCTGTCTGTAATAGCCTCTGAATCGGGGATTCTTGGTCGTGCCCAACGTCGACATAGTATGTCTCACAATCACGAAGCTCTTTCCGAAACGATAGCTCGTCTTCGTATCATGGCGAAACACTGGGACCTGGCTCCTGAGAGCACAGCCATCTCCTTCGAGATGTTCCAGAATGGGCCATGTATGATTTTCTGTACATGAACAAGAGTCAGTCTAGCAGTCATCCTCACGCGCGAAGAACTTAAGCGTGTCTCCGCTGCTATGGTAGTAGATCAGATTAGATCAAGGCGCTATACTTTCCCTTAGCAGATCTGAAGTATCCCGGATCAGGAGGGCAGAACTGAATTGGAGCTTTACGTAGAATTAGCGGATTGATGAGAGACGCCATCATCTTGGTGACTGAGAATATGAGATTTCATCGGGAAGTGGAGGAAAGCGTGGAAGGTTGTTATGATGAGGCCATTGATGATAGTATCAGTACTTTCGGAGCTAACACGTTGTCTTCGCATGGACGCTATTCAACTGTGACCTTTCCTTTCGCTGTGCTTGATATGCGATCACACAGTCGTGAACGCAGTATTTTGTCATAAGCATACTACGTAAACGCTAGATCAGTCATCGTCTCCAGAAATTAGCAGTATCCCAAAAGACTGACCTGCATGATGAGAGCATCACTCACAACACATCTGTGTTTAAGCAGGTGAGCATCCGTAACGACAACCACCAGAGGGCTTGGATCGAATGTTATTGACACCTAAAATGGGTTGAAGAGCTCGACGCATTACTCAAAAAAGATGACAAGACAATCTATGCCTCCAACTCGTCGATATTCCTCAACATGCGAAAAGTGTGAGAAGTGAAGTGAATGAGACATTGTTCCTAAATATACACTATCCCAGCATTGTGTAAAGGATGAGTTGAAGAAGGCTGTAAGTACACGGCTCATATTACTTATGGATCCGCAACAACGAAGACACCAAGAACTACGATGCAGCGATACATATCGCGGCCGTGGTGGTGACCGATGAGTGCGCTAAAGAATACTTATGTTCAAGTCTTTGGTCTCGGACTATCAGAATGTCCCGAGCTAGATATAGGATAAATGGATCTAGTCACGGGATGAGTCTCAAGCGTGTAACTGGCGAACAAGGTGACATGCTCGACACTATGTTAAGCGTCCGGATAGCTAAAAGCTCGGCCAAAAACGTGCAGACGTAAGTCGCTGTTAAAAGACGCGGTGCAATTTGTAGCGTAGTGCATACCGGAATGTGGGAAACCAGAGACCCTGGCGTCGAACCGCTGACGTCATGGCTCGCTGTCACTGAGACAAGAACCACTGAGTGGCAGCCCATCGGTCTTGTTATTGAGGTATTGACCGGACCTAGAAGGGATAACCCTACATGTTGTAAAGACTACGTCTCGTGTACTCGGGTCAAAACAGGTTGTCATTTAGCCACACGGGTCGCGTACGACCACGACGATCTCGACGATCTGAATGACGTAGCATATTCGCACTTGAGCTGTCACACTAGCACTAACCCATTGACCCAGCCTTCTGTCTGGACCCTTGCCATAACATTACCAGAATTACACCTGGACGAAAAGATGCCACCGAAACAAGCACAACAGAAACCAAAACCAAACGCCGCAAATCCACCAAGCCAGAATATGGCTAACAACAGCGCCGGTGGCCAACAAGGTGGCATTCCAGACCATGAGATCAAACAGAACGCCGGCGTATCAGCGAGCATGGCGCTCCAGGCGGGTCAGAAGGCGTGGGAGTTGAGGCAAGCTGCGCATGGAGCGGGCGACGCAAAGGCAAGAGAAGAGATTTTGGCGAAAGCAATCAACAAGGAGATCGAGGCAGAGTCTTTTGGAAAAGCGGCGAAGTACACGCAGTCGGGCGCTTTCCAGGGTCTTGCAGCTGGTGCCGGATTGGGAGTGCAGCCGGGTGTCACCATCGGAAAATTGACTGGTGCCCTGGTTGGTGGCACAATATCTACAGTGACAGGATTGCTTGGAGGTGGCATCGGGTCCGTTTACGGAGCGATGAACGGTCCCATGTGGGACCTTGGTGAGATGGCAAGTCAAGGTGTCCAGGGAGTTGTCGGAGACTTCCTTCCGGACATCAAGTCGACTCCATCGCAGAAGAAGGCTTTGGAGAAGATGATCATGCAAACAAAGGAAACCCAAGCGCCATCCAAAGAGGAGCTGGAGCAAATGAAGAACGACGCACCAGACCAGATGCCGCAGTCTTGGTCTCAGTCGGCCAAAGACATGACAGCCTGGAGGCCGAGCATGCCGAGCATGCCATCAGCTAAGGGTATGGGGGGTGCATTGGGACTGGGTGGAATAGGTGCCGCGATGAATCCATGGGGAGGACAGAGTCAACAGCAACAACAGCCGCAGCAGAGCTCATCACAACCGAAGCAACAGCCTCAAAAGCAGGCTCAACAGGCTCCGAGTCAGCCCAAACAATCGACCCAGCCTCAGAAAAATTCTCAAACAAAGCCACAACAACCAAAGACAAACAACCCACAACCGCCAAAGCAAGAGAAACCACAATCCAATGAACCACCAAAGGAAGCACCCAAACCTCGTTCTCAGCGGCCGCCTACCACCAGAGGGCCTGCTAATCCCCAATCGTCTCAGCAGAATCAGGCACCGAGTGCACAACAGACCACAAGTCAGTCAAAGACCTCGTCACAGAAATCGAACTCAACGAGCAAGCCCGCCAATACCTCCAGTCAACCAAAGCGTGTGTCCTTTAGCGATAACAAAGAAAACAATGCCCCAGCCACTACCTCAAAAGAAAAAAGGAAGCCGAGAAAGTTGGGTCAGCAGGGGAGCAACACACAGAAGAGCGGCGGTCCAAGTCAACCATCTACTCCGAAGAAGGCACCGCGCAAGTTAGAACCAAGGAAGCCTGCTGCATAGATTATACGGCAGTGAAAGTAGGGGGCGATGTGAAGTGAATGAGTAGACAGAGGTCCGCATCGCTGCTGCAGACCTGTATTTCTTCTAGTACCTTCCAGCGTTCTGTATGCTTCATACACGTATTTTAGCGACAATGTAGCTTTACCCTAGTATTTTGAATCATTATCGATCACGTATTACACAACGACCCTCAATAGAAATCTTACATGCACATTCTGTTTCCTAGTTAACTCCCTCCTGATGTCGAACAATATTTGCACAACGCTGTAGCTAGAAGAAACGGATCACTAGGAGATTGCCCGTATCAACAGTCCACCTTCAATTAGATGCTTGTTAGCTTAGCAAGACTACCGTTTTGCAATGATGGCGACTCGGACGCGCAAACAATGCTAGCGAAATGTCGAAAAACTATCTTACAGTACGCCCTACTACACTTGACCCAGATAAGACTTATGTTTTCGTTTCCAGTTCGACGTTGGCTAAGTACTAAGACATCCACGAACCGCTGTTGCTAGAACATCTCTGCTTTCCTGGTAATCGTTGCTACACAGCGCATGGATTATCCATCTATAAACTTTAACGGATACTATGGATTCACTGGACGAGAAGCACCACGACGCATACAGGACAACAGTGGACTCTTCCACCTCGATGGTCATCAGACCACAACCTTCCAGTCTCTCAACTAAGTACTGCCTACAATTGTCCTGATCCGACTAGCGTTTGATTTGTTCGCGAACATTCAAAGCATCTCCCAACCATCCAAGAGTTTCCACGAACCAGCGCCTCCATAAACCACGACCACTACTTCTGTTATCACTTGGGCATGGCTCAATCGAAGCCAGGGGACACCATTAACTACAGCATGTCTCAGGACTACCTCCCGGTCGAGAACTCTGCTGTTAACAAGGACTTTGGCCTAGAATTTCCTGGAAACCAATACGATTTTGAAGCTCAACATCAAACAGCATCGGACGACGGAAGCGCACAATGGACTTCTGATAGTGGCATCACCGTGTTCAACTTTCCCGAAGACTGGGCCCCAGAAACAGAAGGCAGTGATCTGGATGATGTTTTTGGATACGGAAACAACAACGTTCAGCATCAACATAGCGCCACCCGAAGGGCTGAACAAGCACTTGAGCAACTGGTAGCTCAGCGTGTCCCATACATACCAGATCCGCCTTATCAGTTATTCCAAAAGCCTACCAGCTTTGTGGGTGCCCAGAAAGACGCATCCGATGCGCGCGCTCAAGATTATCGGGGGTGTGCAACGCTCAATCCGCATGAACGCACTCAAACTACTAAAATTGCGTCAGCGCGAGGTGGTACCTGTGAATTGGCATTCCGTAGTCTTGTGGAGGCGAAGAAAGCCATGCTTTCCCGCCATCTCGACAAAGCCTGGTTCGCGCCAATTGGTGACAGTACAATTCCTACTAACGATGAAGAACGAGCTACATATGTTGCCGAACTGTTGGACGCAATGAAAGATACTTCGGCATGCTCAGACAAGCGCGAGACACCCGCGTTCATGAGCCGCTGGACTCCTAATGCTATTAACGCGCCACATTCAACACATATGGAGAAGGTCTGTTGGCAGCTTGTTGATGTCGCTGAACGTTTGCACATCGATGGTCCAGCGTCGCTTCCGATCTATGACAAGCTGGCGCTTGCAATGGCCCGAAAATCACGCTATCTTACCTTTGGACAACGCATGAGTCATCTCAGTGCGCTGTTACGATTATCCAAGTACCGCTGTTTCTCGCTACTCAAGGGTAAGCAATGTCTCTGTACGGACCGCATGTAAGACAACTACTGACTTGGCACACTGATATTTAGGTGAGAATATTGAAACTACAGTTGCATCGCCAGCCCAGCGATGCTCAGGCACCATCGTAAACTGTGTACAAAACAGTAAGCGTCAAGAATTTATCAAGGAAGGACGACCGGTTTGGAAGGACAAGAACGGTGCAGCCAACAAAAAGATACAGTCAATGCCGGTGAACACCGACGAGTATATTAGCTCAGAGGTTTCGAGTTTGGACATCGCAGTGGGCCAAGCGCACACTGAAGATGCTCGCCAGGATATACCAGTCTCTGTTCGTTCCCCTTCACCTGCGCCCACAAGCGATACACACCATACTCATATTTGTTCTGTCAATGATAGATCAGCTCCTTGCGGAGACTCCCACTTAAACGGAATTTACGGCAACTCTGAGCGAGGTAATATTGTCACAGGACGGTACGAAGGCAACCACCATGTCAGTGGCAATTTGTACAATGCCAGCCACACACCCCGCTCAAACTACGCAGGTGTTTGCTATCTTCACCCTGGCGATGTTCCGAGTTCCTCCCAAGCACTGAAGCGCACTGCCAGAGATGCACAACTCGACAAAGATTCATGCCCACCTGCTCAGCGCCCACGCTTCGACAATTTAGTTGATCGCTCATATCAGGTATAGGAGACTGTACGGGCAGCTGGTCTGGCTACGCAGTTTGAAATCTTCAAACCTCCTTTTATCCTATGGTATAAGAAGAGGAGACAAGGAAAGTTGCGTAAGTTGATTATGGAACCATGGTTCACAAGTGGAAGAAAGGAAGTAAGGAACTTCTCGACGTCACTAGGGCCATTGCCGATCGGTCTGCCGTAGTCATGAGCGGAGTGCGTAACTCGAATAGTGTTTTCCTTCCGAAACCGTTTTGTCTTTAACTCAAGCGTACCTTGAAGACTCATGCTAATTCATTTGTCATAACCTCCAGAATGATTTTCCACTTCGGTGATCCTTGAGGTATAGCACTCTCGCGTGGCCTGACAAATAGACATGCCTAATTCATGGAAAGGTCTTGTGCGTTGTACAAACTATTAGGGTGTGTGTGTGTGTGAGGCGTCGATCGTAGGCTGCAGTAACCGATGTCGATTCGATACAAGGGTGCTGCGAAGGTCGCCTAGGCCACACCTCTTGAGCCACGTGCCAAACTTTCTTCTCCAGAACGCGATCCTCTGCTGAGCCGTCTATCTCGCATGACGGGGACGAGTGTGCAGTGTATAACCGTGACCAGCTTGATGCCAGGTAGTGAGAGCATCCTGTCGATGGTTTGACAAGACTACCTGCAGGTAGTGGAGGCGTCTGAACCGGCTGAACCCAAGGACGACAATGAGTCGTTGGCGTCCGAAAGCAGCCGATAGTCCCGTAGCGTGGTAGATTGCTATCAATCTTCCTCAGCTATAACGCGATTCGATATGTGAACAGTCAAAACGACAAACTTCCAGCGCTAGTTGAGCTCAGGAGCATCATCGCGTACACCAAATTGACAAACACCGTCGTCCAGCACATTGGACATCTTGTCTCTCGTCCTTCCTCAGCTCTCTTTTCCAACATCGCCTCTGGCCCACTCTGGTCCCTGCCCTTCCTCTTTGTCTTTCGCTAATTTCTTTTCCAACTCCTGCCTCGCTTTCTCGCCAAACTTCTTCTCCCACTCTTTGTCTCTCTCCTTCTGCGGTGCAGCGAATTGAGTACTGAGACCACCTCTACTCTTGACTTGCATTTTCTTCTCCGCTGCTTCATTCTGCTTCAGTTGCTCTTCGGCACTCTGTATCCGGCGCTTGAGACTGATCTCGAACATGTCCCTTCCTTTATGTCTCCCCTTGAGCCCGTTGTCGTCTTTGTCGAAGTATACTGCCCAGCGTAGTCCTTCTTTGCCCCACGGTGTATCGGGATCTTCATCAGCACCATCCCATTCGTCGATAGCCATGAAGCCTTCCCAGCCGTCGAATGTCAGGTGGGTCTCGTCTTCGGTCCAGTCCCAAACGCCTACATGATGCACGATACTGCCCGTGCGATTCGAGTAGCGTAGCTCATACGTCTCTCTGTCGCAGTATATCCAGTTCAGCATAGGCGGGTCGTCGCTGATGGTGCTAACCAGTCCCCTTTCCGGGGGGCAGCGATCCTCGTCAGGATATGCAATATAGAAACCTGCAAATGGATGCAACGGCTCCCGTCCTTCACCGTCTACCCCATCCGGCCACATCGGTTTGTTATCCGCGTCCCTCGGCACAACCCAGACTTTATCGTGGCGCACAACGAGGATGCCATTGTTGACTTCTTCTTTCGCGATCGGATCGGGATCATCGCAGGCTACAAGGCAGTTGAACTTCCACATGCGCGACTCGTTGGCGGCTTCTTCGTTCTGCTTCTTTTGGTGCTCGACACCTTGCGCGACACCAGTAACGACAGGAATGGCGACCACGCAGCCGCCAAGGAAGATGCCTAGAGGAAGCGCCATATCGAATTATGCGACCGATGGTTTTGTGGTAAGGATTCAAAGCGGTCGCATTGCGGGAGAGGGTTGAACTTCGTTGTGGATGCAAGGCGGTACCGTCCAGAGTGGGATGAGACAAAAACGCGTTGCGTCATTGTTGGCACCTTTCCCAAATAAGCCTAATCTCCTGCGCGTTGAACCAACGCGTCCCGAGCTCGACATGTCGTTTCACAGTCATCGCACAGTTGATGTTCGGTGACATCGACAAAGAAGACGGGATATACCTCGTCGCAGTCAGCCGATATGATATCGACTTGCAGTAACCTTGCCAGTGACTCGGTGAGTAGCAACCTCATCGTACAGCCATTGTTGTTATCAACGTATAGCGGGATGAACCTGCATACAACGCTGAGGCCGCGGCTGCATGTCTGCACAATGTCTCGTTTCTCGAGAACAAAACGTTACTGATCAAGCTATTTGTATTTCTTTCGCCCTTGAAATAGCAGCCGAGCGATCCATTGCGCAGCCACCATCAAGCACGACAATGAAGTCTACAGACACTAACTTCGCCTCCGCAATCACTTCTACAGCAGTTCGTCCCAAGCCGTCATTCCACATCAATGCCTCATGCTCAAATCTTCATCTTCCTGTCGCACAACCATCTCCCTTGTTCGATGGCATCAACGAAGACATCAACATACATCGATTTCCCGCCTTCCAGGACCCGCTCACTATAGGCCAGGGCGTACCAGCGTTGGCGCCGCACTGTACGTTACATTGCGGCCATCGGGTCTGCATGCACTTAAGCATGAAAGGATTGGATTCTCTAGCATGCCAGTGTGGATCCGAAGAACGTGAGCCTAAGGAAGAAAAGACGGTCATGACTTGGTACCGACCAGAGATGGATCTCGACTATTTAGTCATGAACTCCATCGAAGACTCGATCGCCAACGCTGGCCCGCTTCATGAGATTGATGTTTACTATAACGAAGTTTTCAAGATACTTGCACACCTCCAAGAGCGTGCCAGATCTTTGGCGCTGCACAACGAGTATTTGGTACGTGCTGTGCACTGCGACTACCCAGGCCACGAAGAAGAGATTGCTTATGCTGCAGTCGACCATATCTTCAGGATCATGCGCTTGTACTTCCATCGCATACTACGCTCTCAGGACCATCATCTGATAAGTATCCAACAGCTCCAGCGCGAATTGAACGTATATCTCTGGACGCTGCTTGCTGAGTGGGTGGAGGCGCATTGCGACGATGAGACCCGTAATCGTGTAGTATTAAATGAAGGCCCCGCCTCTATAATCCAGGCTATTTCTGGTTCTACAGCTGCTATCCTGGAGCTTTGGGAGGAGTGCATAGAAGGAGTTCTTGAATTGCTTCTTTGGCGAGACGAAGAGGTCAAGTGGTGCAACGTGGAAAGCCGAGTGGTTTTTGGTGTCTTGACGGTAATACTCTTGTGGGTGCTCATCATAATCCTTTGGGGGAACGTAGGTTCGCATATATAAGATCAAGGGATAACATAAACCTATAGATTATCTTTATAATGAGTTTATAGGTTGTTCACGGCAAATTTTGGTACCTGTAACCTTGTCATACCAGCGTGAAAGTCTCTCCTTGGGCGTGGTGCCAAGGATGTGGTAAATGCTCCAAAGGAGCGAAGTTTGGAACTTTGGTGATCTCCTCGTCGAAATGGATGCAAGTCTTCAAGAGCCCCACCCTTCTGTAATGTCCATCGCTATCCGTTGGGACTAAGGCCAGCCCAAGTAATGTAAAGCAAGCTTGGACTTTCTCCGCTGGTCCTGGCCGCTGAGTCGATTCTTCTATGCGTGCCTTCGCCTTGCGTAATCTCGAATTGGAGAGGATACTTTTGTGTAGCATGCTTCCGACTTGCGAGGTTCTGGAATGGGACTCTTCTGTATTTTTCGATCGATTTCCAGAATCCAAAACCTTGCACAAGCAAAATTTGATGTTGTTTGTCGGAGTGTCGACAAGACTAGAGTCGAGAAGCAGCCATCCATAAGCTGTCTGCCGCTTTGACTCAACGACTGGCCTAGCTCGCTTACTGTAGTCCATTTCCAGATAATTGTTGTAATGGAATGCGGTATGTCGTGACTTCTGCCATAGCATTTTTCTCTCTTTGGTTACCAACACCGTGCCGATCTCAAGATCGATGCAGCGCCCATACAGTGTCAAGGATTTGTTGACTATACCTTGCATGTCCATAGTCGGTTGAACATACTCTGAGTTCTCATCGCTGGTAATAGCATCCACCTTGATGCTGTAAAGAACATGTGTTTGCTTCCCTTTCTTATTGGGTTCAAATTTGATGTTCTCACCCCACTGAGACACCCAACTCCACGAGATCGAGCAGAGCGACAGCCTGGTCACTGAATCTTGTACTTGTGGGCCAGGATGCTTGTCCTTGCGACTGCTACGCACGGCCCATAATAGACCAGATGTAAAATCTTCTTTCCAGATCCCATTCAGGTAAAAGATATGGTGATTGGCTGCAAAAATGGTTGCAAGACCGGCAAGAGCTGGTAGTACATCGGAACTATAGCTCAAGGATCGGCGCGAAAAGGCTTCTACGACTCTATACCATGTTTCAAATAGGCCTTTAGTTGCGTGGAGTGAAACCTCTGGTGCATTGGTGCTGTCCAGCCAAAAATGCAATAGTGGTAAATATGTTGTGACCATCTCAGGTTTACGTCCAACAAGGCCCTTTTTAACGTCGTCGAGGGTATCAGGGGATGCCGCATGGGTAGTAGGCATGCTTTCTGACAGCTCACAGCTCCGGCATGTCCACTGCATCTCTGAATGCCGAAAAACCAGTTGTCGTGGCGCAAGCACCTCCTCTTGCAGAATCCATCCCCTAGTGTCCAGCGGACACGGACTTCTTTCGGGCAAGGATTGCACGTACGCTGAAATTTGATGCGTCTCGTCTCCAATAGTAGCTGCAAAGTCCAGTTGACAAGGCTTGGTCAATCTGGGATCTCGTGTCATAGACAGGCCCGCATCAACGTTGTCTCCAGCGCCAGCGAATATTGTCAACGCGGACTGTTTATATACATCGCCCATTCGTGCAATCTCTGTGCGTGAGTCCTCGACTGAGTCCTGGATGATCGTTAGGGCATCTATCCAGATATGTTTAAACCCCAATCGAGAAGCGAGGTCAATGGCCTCCTGGAAGGTTTTCGGAAGGTCACATCGTGGGATTGAGTTGTAGTGCTGCTCGAAATTTCCAGAGTTAGTTACGTATCTTTTCGTGACGTTACCCCATACATAGCTCAGCGTGGCGTATGAACGTATGCTAACCACCTCGTTGTCTTCTAGAAAGGGATGGCTTGGATTGACAATGTTGATTAGGCGCGTGGGTAAATACGAGGCGGATATAGCGTCTCGACAGGCAGTGTGGGTTTCCGAGCATGTCTTGAGCCATGCTGAAGCCAAGGCAATGTTTGCATCTGACAAAGTTGACGCGTCGCACTCTGGGGAGAATTCGTGGTTGCTGTGTTGTTCCTCGTCTTGCTGGGCTATTGCTTCTGCACTTAATGCGTCCGATTTTGGTTTACTCGACTTGGTTAGAGTTGCCACCATGGTTGAAAACGGTTCTAGCACAGACTCAGCGCAATGCCTGTCTTCGAAGTGATTTCGAGCACCCACCAGCCATCCGAGGTACCAAGCATCTGAATCCGTAAACCATCGCCTCAAAGTATACACTCAGGACAGCTGTTTCAAGCGAAGCCAGAGTCTCTTCCTGGAGCTTCCGACTAATGCTGAGGATGATGCGTGACTCGGTGTCATTTTTCTTTCGCAGACGCCGACCAATCTGCAATAGTGCTTGAATCTTGAGACAGAATTGACAACCGGTGTCAGCAGTACGTTGCAAACACTGAAGGTTGCACGAATGTTGGAAGAACAGTATGTGATCATTTTTAATGTCTTTCATATAACCAAGTAATGGTACCTGGAGTTGCTGTACAGCTGGAGGGCATGCTTCGATATGCCTGAAATGGATGCTGGTACACTTGGAACAAAGCATCGAAGTGGGAGTGGAACGAAGTTGCGAACAGCCCCAAACGAGGGTTGCCGCTCAAAGTCTCGTCAGATAACACAATGGATAGATAGCAACGAATGTGTCGGTGGAGAGTTGCGCAATTTTGTTGGACAGAAAATCGTGGGCTCGTGCAGGTAAGCTAGACAGACGGTATTGCAAAGGGTTTCGACGCGTGCATGTTCACGTCATTGGCATTGCAGCGGGTACGCGTCCGTGGAAATGAACGTGGCGGGGATGGGCCGCTAGGCCCAGATGATGCGCGTTATTTCCGATTGGCCGTGAATAGGTTTAAAACACGCATTGGAGGGTACGACAATCTCCATGTATGAAGTGCCACCAACAGCCTACTCTTCATACGAGTTTTCTATCCACTTGGGCGGATGCTTTTGCACACTAATCTTCCCCCAAGCCATCCCCGAAAAGACACCCTTTGTCCAAGTTGTTCATACCACCATTCATTCCATACTCCTGACGTCCGGAAACCAATAGCGTCGACGACTGGGGATTCTCCAGTCTTCTGAGCGTTGCTGACCACGCGCCGCCGAATGTCACCAAACACCTTGCTTAATACCCTCTGTTGTTTTCTACAAAGATGCATGTCGTGGCTAAGCTTTGCAGATATTTCCAAAAGTCCGTTGTGGGGCTCTTCCCCCTTCTCTGTCAAGAGAATACGCACCGTATCGAAATAGACTTGCTGAATCGATTTGTTATAGTCGATCTCTGGGACACTGGAAGAACGGTTGACTATCCCCAGGAGCCCGTATACTTTGTCACGAGGGTCTTCGCACTCAAATTGCGAGTAGAGATCAAGGCGATCAGACAAGCTCCATAAGAACTTACTTTTAGGACCTGATGGATTCTTCGTCATAACGTCGGAGAACAACCAGGTTGCTATATTGTTGTTCCTGCGTAGCATAGTCCTCTCAAGTTCGGAGAACGTTCTTCTAAAGTGGAGCCAGTCGACTAAGAGATCGCCACTCATGATCTGAACCTTCTGAGCGAGTACGATCTCCTGAACAATCCATATGCGCGTAAAATAGCGATTACTAAATATCTACTCGAAATGTTTGTATTCGAAAGTACCATCCATGATCCGTTGAAGCGGCTGATAGCAGGAATCATCTAGCCAAGTAATGACAGTATGACTATTGCCGTATACTTCAGCCATCATGCCGACTTGATGGTTTCGCTCCTGTATATTGGTCTGGTTGATGCAGAGTGAATCCACCCATATATGCTTGGTTTGTTGCGCCTTCTCGCTCTGACTAAAGGCGTTAAGGAAGTTGTACAGATTCTCGCGAACAAACCAGCATTTACCGTTCAACCAGACCCTGTGTGTGGGAAGTGGAGCACCCCAGGTATAAGAGAGAGCAATGTAAGGTGGAGCTCGGTCGATCTCATATACATCAATCGTACAGCCAAAACTAGCTCCTCCGAGGTGTGGGTAGGGATATGCAGAAGCCCGGTGGACCTTGATCAGTCTGATGTTGTGTCCAACAGGGGTCAGAAGCCCATAAACATACGGGTCTTTGCTTGCGACCGAATCTAGTTCGTCGAGCTTAGTGGTTGGTGTCAAAGGGCGCGACTGAGGTGTAGATCGAGCAGGCTCAGAAAGCTTGGGTTTTGCTGAGACGAGCGGTAGACTGGTGCTACTCTGCCCTTCTGCAACGGCCTTTCGCTCCTGGTTGCGGTTCAGGAAGTCCTGCATGCTGTGTCACAAGGACGCCCTTCCTCAGAAACAAAAGGCTTTTCTGCGATTAATGCACGTGTTTTGTGCTGCGATGATAGACATGAGGAAGGCAAAATGAGAGCGGGGTCTGAGGTGTTGCGGCCCACTGCTCAGCCTCGCGAACACGAGACGCAAGTGACGTAGCAATGCCTAGAGAACTCATAGATGCAAACAAAGGAGCGCTGCCTTAGATGTAGTCGTTAAATTACCGACCAAGATGCTAGGCGGAACAAATGCTTGGTGGAATGGAAAGTGCGCATGTAGGCATGGGAAAGAGGAAAAGAAAGGCGGAGTGAACGAAGAGCTTTGGGTATGTCGTGTTCATTAATCATCGCTCGTGAGACAAATATACATAAAGTACTGTAAAGAATGCAGCGTACAGCGCAATAGCTCAGGCCACATGTATTAGAGCAAAGATGGCTCAAAAAGTATCCAGCCCCATCTTCTGCAGGACGCCTACCAGGTCGACCTCCACGATCTCGTCCCAGCCCCTCTCAGGGCCCCAGGCAACGCGCTTCTGGTTGAGCTTTGTCTCTTCTAGCAAGCCCCTCAGGAGTGGGCTGGATTTAGACACACTCGGGTAGGCGTCGAACTCGACGTCGTCGATCGACGGCAACTGTGCGAGCAAACCTCTCAGCAGCCCGACGCAGTACTCAGTGTAGAAGTTTTTGCCGGCACGGAACCCTTCAAATACATCGTTGGATGCAGGGTCGAGCTCTACAAAGACCTTGAGTTTATACACCTTCTTCATCGCCGCCAGGCCAAGGCGGCTGTCCACCACCCAGCATTTCGGCGGTTTGGTGAAGCCTGGCCCTAGTCTCAACTCCAAACGTGTGAGCTGTGCTCTGTATTTGCGAGGGAACCACGCGAGTAGCGGATGCTTGCGGTTGATGTAACGTCCGATAGGGAACACGCGGAAGGTGTTGCCACCGTAGAAAACGCGCGACGCTTCGTCGTGCATACGGTGGTCTACGAGGAAGAGGCGGAGGGCGGGTGCGATCGTGCGATAGTTGGCTTCATCGAGATCGATAGTCTTGGGGAAGATCAGAAGCTCTTCGTAAACGCGCAATCGCAGTTCGTAGGGAAGATCGAAGAAGCGAAAAGGCTGGCGCTGAGCGGCTTCCTTGCCGTCTTCCACTGGATCGTCCTGAGATTGCGGCGGTGCAGCAGCCCGCTCATCCACCAGCCGCACTTTGCTCATGCGATTGACCATGTGGTCAATCGCCTTCGATTTACGCGCCATCCTATTGAACAGCACCCTCCAAAGCGATCACTTTTGTCGCTTTGGTTGTATTTATGCATCCATCGCGTCACTCGTGCGTATACGTATCGGTATCGTTCGAGGCGAGAGGAGACGTAGCAATGATGAAAATTCTTAAGAGGATGTCTCGGAGCCACGGGACCGTCAGCCCATTCGGTAGGGGCAGGCAGTTCTTGGGGGCAAAGAGGTTCGATCTCCCCAGCTTATGTCAACTTCAATCTTGTAGAGGAACAAAGAGTGAGGTCAAATTCTGTGGGTGCAACTTTCTATATGGAAAAAGAAGAGAGAGTGGCGGCGACGCGGAGAGTTTTGTCCAAGGTCCGACTAGCGTATTAGTCAGCCGCCTGCCGAGCCCCACCGTTCGCCGACCCACCGACTTCGCGTTCTGCCTGCCAGAATAACAGGCTCCGCTTTGTTACCTTGCACAACCATGTTGCATAATCACTTCATCGTAAAATTGTATATCTTTAGGGCAAGGTCTGCTCGGTCGAGAAAGGCCCATAAGAACGGGATTCTATTGCTGCAGACGTGTGTAGATGAGGAAAAGAAAAGAACAAAACAGATTCACTTGCAGTTCATTCTTCGTTATCAGCTACTGCCAAGTGATTCGCCCACTATCGTATTCATTCCTTCCCAATCCCATGCCTCATAATCATATGCAACCAAAGCATGTTTTCATCGCGATACCAATAGACCTTCTGTTTCCAAAATGCTCTGTTCTTACGGTCCTCTTATTCAAGCTTTCTTCGAAGACATCGCTACTAGGTCAATGGTCGGGAGCGCATGCATTACATGGCTCGCCACCGCCCCGCTCGGTCGCGACGGTGATGTTGACCAAACCACAGGATTCGTTCCCAATCGTGTATCCAGAGTAATCAAATGGGTGAGCGCCGTAGGTTTGACCTTGGTCTGGTCGGCCTTGCGGCGGGACAGGGTTCGGGAACGGTGCCGTAGCGTCAATGGGAACACCGGCGCTGCCGCGACCACCATACAAACCATTGCCACGATTGTTCCGGTGGCCGTGGCGAGGAACCGTGTAGTAGCTGGGAGGGTACATGTTGCGAGGTCCGGACGGGAAGCCAACGTTGCGCACAGTGGTGAGATCGACGTTGAAGTGGCGTGGAGCGTTGCTGTTCGAGTGACTGTTGAGGGCAGCCTGTTTAGATATCATATTGAGCTGATTCTCAAAAGGTCGATTTGCTCCAGCGTTGGCATTGTGCGGGATTGAGACCTCTCGGTTGGAAGCAGGATGACAATTCTCTTGGCGGGTCTCTTCACGACGCCGAGTCGTAGGCAAAGGTGGTGGAGGCATTAGCTCCGCGGAATTTGAGCGCTGATTCGCTGCAGCAGAGCGAGGAGTCGCTGGCCTGGGGGTCATGATGGGAATCGCCTTTGAAGAAGGATGAGGAGAATCGACCGGAGAAGACAGAGACGTGCGCTGTTTTCTGGATTGCTTGAACTTCTTGGGCGATTTTGGACGACCATTACGATAGCCCTGCTCGTAAGCAAATTGTACACCGTACATATACCACAGGAACGGTATGCCGTTTCTATCGAGTACCGTTGCATCTGGCAGACCAACGATGTCATGAGACGAGACCGGAGGTACGGTTCTCGTGGTAGCTTCGATCGGGCCAGCTATGGACGAAGCCTGAGGTACGAATTCCGCAGCAGTTGCTCGAAGAGAGCCCACACTAGATTGAGTTGAACAACCGCTATCTCTTTGTTTACCCTCATCAGAAACATACCACTCACCTCTTCCTCGAACGGAAGTCACGTTACCAACAGCGTCATCGATATCGTCCGTGGAGGCAGAGACAGGCTCTTCTTGTTTGACTTCGATGTTTGTGTTTTCTGCATCCAAATTGTGAGCCATCATGACGACGATTGCGGGTATGCTTGTAGAACATGTAAGCGTCGTACCATGAGTAAAAGCTGGTGGGGCATCCCATGACATGTTCTCTGGCTTCACAGTCTTGTATGAAGCCTCATGGTCGACCGTACAGTTGTTGACGTGGACAAAGCTTGCGCCGCATTGTGAGATATTCTTTGGTAGGCCTGAAACCTCGATATTCGGAGCAGACATGGGACTGTCAACGTGAGCTAGCTGTTTCTGCTCGGCCTTAAAAACAGTGTCCAGTGTTTGATCATCACCATGTAATTCAGATGTCCGGGAGATAATCGGAGTTGAGCCAGTACTGTCGACGGTGCGTACGTGACGCAGAGATGCTGGTAAAGGCTTTGGCGTTTCGGGTAGAGGCACTTTTGACGCGTCTGACTGCATAGCTTGCAGCGTTTTGAGCTTGCATTGCAAAGACTTCACCGACTCAACTCGCTGGACGGTTGAGTTCCGAAGGGGAACCGCAATCTTGCTGGTAGCGCCAACACGTGGGATGCGAGACATTTGTGTAGGAGATACCGGACTTTGCGGACTTCTCAACATATACGAGCCGCTCGGCGCTACTGTTGGTGCCGATGAAGAATCTCTATGAAGATCATGGCATGAAACAGTTGGAGGAATTTTGAGCGCAAGCTTTGGTGTCAATGAACTCCGCTTGCCTTCTGTGTTCCCTTTCGCTGTCGTCGAACGCGAACTGTTGGAGTCATGATGCATCTGTTCATCATCAATGTTAGCCTTGAGGTCAAAATCAGGAACATCAAGGTCTTCGGGGTTCTCTGCAGCAGACTGAAAGCTATGTTCCGTGCTTGCAGAACTCCTTACTGGCGATCCTTCTGCGGTATGAAACGACATCCGGCCAGTAGAAGTAGCAACACTACTAGGTGTTCGTGAGTGCGCTGCTGATATCGACTCGGTGCTGAGATGTGTCGACTTGCTAGGCGATGTCCTGAAGGAGAGATTTTGCTGACGCACGCTGCTACGTAAGGGTCCAGTAGGACTGTTCCATGGTCGCTTTGTTGGAGAGCCGTGTAGTCTGCTAGGGCTGAGCGGAGAGGTGGGTGATGCTATGGTGCTATCGACAGCAGCTAGGGCCTCTTTTGTGAGGTATAGTGCACCTTCTTTGCTATGTGTTCTTCTCAGATCGGTTGAACTACGTGTTTCCCTTAGTGTCTTGACCTTGTCTGGAGAATCACTGTCCCAGCTATCTTTCGAAGTTCGTGCCTTTGCCCGCTGAGCGGTTGCGAGATTGGGACCAGTGCTCTTCACCAACCACTGGGTAGGTATGGACTTGCGAGGACTGTGACCCGCTGCACCAACTGTATGCGCGGCGTACCGATAGTCCGCTTGTTCTTGATGATGCATAGCGATCGTATCAAGATCAGTAGTCGAATCGACAGACTCGTCGTGAGATCCTTCGCGGGCGTTAGAGTGCCCGCTACATGACTCAAATCGAGCAAACAGTTCAGGAACCTTACCGTCGTGAGTAACCTTCATATGCAATGAAGACTGTGTATTCAAGGGCATATCAATGTCGACGTTGCTGTAGCTCTGCCTGTCCAGTACTGGGCTAGCGTCGCTAAGACTGTTTTGTTGTTGCCGAGGGCCGTCAATAAGGGCAGAGCGTGGAATGAAAGCAGCCTGATGATGGAATTGTACATCTCGCTCTTGCACGACGACGTCCCAAGTTGATGCGTGCCCGGCTTCAGACGGCTTGATAATTGACATGTTATCGTTGTACTGTGATTGGTGCTGTTGCTGAGTATGCGATGGTAACTGCGAATGCGATGAGCTACCGTTGTTGGCGGATGATGCAGGTGGATGAGCAGATGAGCCAGACTGAGCGTCGGGTTTATCGTTGAGGTTATTGTCTGCACTCTGGTCGTCTGGCGAATGACTGTCACTATCAGTTGTGTGCCAGTTATATCACAGGAACGGTGCTTACTTTCTGGGCAGACCGAGTGCTATCGCGTTGTTACAGTAGGATATTCTGGTGAACTCGGCGTGGCAACAGGTCGAGACATAAGAGTAATGATAAACACACATGATGTCGGGTAGCGGTTGTCGACTGCAACCAGCAGGAAAGGTCGATGTCGATTATCCAAAAGGGATGCAGGTGGGGAGAGGTGGGAGCGACGCAACAGAAAGCGCGGCGTTGAATGCGGCGTATGAGTAGCAGGGACTAGGTAAACAAACGAACGCGGAAGGAATGCGCAATAGCAAGTGAAAGTGGAAACTGTCGAGAAGTATGAATAGCCATACTCCAACGCATTGTTAGAAATTTTGTACAACGTTTGCCAGACGTCATATTATAGATACGAGACTGAATCGGACATGTAAGTTTCCACGTTCATGTAAGATAAAGCAGTGAAAACATTGAACGAGTCGAACAAACGTCAAGAACAGAGTCGACCATGCGAATATTAGCGATAGATCCGGAACCAGTCGTTTTACGTCTCAACACTTGTGGTCCTTCAAGCACGTAGACTGAAGCGTCAGGGGTGGATGGTCTTCTTCTTGACGGCTGTTGTGAGATAACATGTTCATTATTTGATGACTCAGAATCTCTTCTTCTTTTTCGCCTGGGCCTGTTTCTTCGCTGCTTCCTCATTCTTCCGCTTGAGTTCAGCCCGCTTTCGCTCTGCTTTCTCCTCTGGCGTTTCCTCGTGGACCTCCTTGACGGGCGACATCTCTTTCACCACCCTAGACGGTGGCGGGGAGGACGGTGGTTCTGCAGTAGGTGATTGTGTGGTTCTGATACGGTTGGTACTTGGTGAGATTGTTATCGCGCGTTGTGAAGCGTCTCCATCTACTGTCTTTCCTTTGCCTCCGATTCGGAAAGGCTTACGGGCTTTCTTTGGTGTCATGACTGATTGGGTCGTTTGCGAAGAAGGCACAAACTCTCTGGTCGGTAGGATCTCCGACTCCTGTTCCGCATCTATACTCCCCGGCAATGGTTGAGGGGATTCCACCCTTGTTGATTTGCCGCCTATTCGGAAACTGCTTACCTTGGCCTTCTGGACTGGGGATGAAGCCGTCTTGGGCGGGGAGTGATGTTCAGGTGTGAGCGACCTCTCGCGAATTGTCTCTTGTATTGTCTGGCCCTTGCTTTGGCTCTGACTTTTGGGAAGTGCATCCAAATCCTCGTCGTCTTCAGTACTATCACCCTCTGTCTCACTGGTCTTCTTATGCGGCGAAGAGGGTATGGGCACTGAGGATTCTACGCGCCTTCTGACGATATCGCGTGTCTGTGAGACTGTTAGCAGCTTCGCTTCGTGTTGTGCTCTCATGTGCTTACGTTAAAATTTTCATGAGTTTCAAACTCGTCCTCCGTCTCTTCATCTGAGTTCGCAGTAACCTTCATTGACTTTGTAGCTGGAGCAGGCTTCTTAGCTTTGCTTTTAGCCGGAACTGTGACTGGTCCCAACTGAGTAGGTATCTCAGTCCACCACGTAAATTCTTGATCTGATTTCAGTTTCCGTGGTACTCTCGGGGTAGTCTGCGCCAATGCTTCTTGGAACAAGCCAAGCGTAGTCAGGTTTGCGTCTTCCAATTGCTCCGTCTCCTGCCTCCATGCTTCTTCGCGAAACGGTCGTAAGGCGGGAACGTGCTTCGCCGCTTGTTCGCGTTTGACCACCTTCCTCCCCGTCTTGGTTCCGCCGATGCTGGGGAAAGCGGCAGCCAGGTCTACGTTGTTGGAATCAAACTGATCTACGAGTCGAGATATTGCCCTGTCCTTTTCGGTAACAGTAGATATAAGTGTGGTGATTCGTTCATTCTGGATGTGAGATGATACAAGTAGCGGAAGAATCAGTTCGTTCTTTAGAGTTGCAGACGCTCGCTTTTGCAGGTTGAATGTCCACGTCAAGCGGTCGAGGGGCTCTGGAAGGCAGATGCTAGTGTGCAAGGTGATGCCGTCCGTGTCGTTGCGAGTCACACGGCATATGGCATCCTCTCCACTCGCCAGGGATTTCTCAACATTCTCGAGAAGAATGACAAGCTGCGCAGTATCCTGTTTGCTAACTTCGATAGGCGATTGCTCCTGTGCAGCTCGTTTGACTATGCCATAGACGTCTAGCTCTTCGCACCATATGTTGCTGAGGTCGGTAAGATGCACAATGTACGAGTCCAGGTCGAAGGCGGGTTTGATGAGTAGCTGGGGGATGTGCTTGCCGTCAGGCTGCTCGCAGAGCTCCAGCACGCGCCAACAAGACATTTCAACCCGGACAGAAGGATGGATTGGCACGCATGTTTGCAAAGAGAGGGAGACGCGCGATTCCACGCAACCTTTTGTGGAGTCTCGATGTGACAGGTGAATGTCAGCGCGAGGCGCAAGTGAAAGGCAGCCGCGCCAAGGATGGGCGAGCAGTTGCCAAAAGGGGAGTAGATGCCTGCAGGCGCGGTAGGCAGGCCAGCCGTACGTCACCAGCCTCGGCCAAAGATTTCGCGATCTGCGCCGACCTGGGCATTGACGCAGTCAGACATCACCACAACAGCCGCATTTTCTACGTCTCGATAACATGTCGTCACGTGAACCTCCATGGCGCAACGAGCGCAGCCGTCTGCCCCAGCGCGACGCGCCGTCTTCGTCTATTCCAGCAAAGCGGTCAGCCGACTCACGAGCACACGACAATCCTGCGAAGCGGTCAACGAACGCGGCCGAGGAGGCATGGGTGGCAGACGAGGATCGCTTCGTGCTGCAGCAGGCGAAGAAGAAGGCGGCACTGCGCGTCAAGGGCGGACGCGCGAGGCCCATTGACTGGCTGGCCGTTACGCTGCGCTTCATCGACCCTACAGAGAAGTCGATACTCGACGAGGAGGTGGAAGACCACGAGCTGGACATCGTAGACCCCGAGGGCGTCTTGGAAGGCCTCAGCAACGACGATATCTCAGAGCTGGAAAAGGAGATTGAAAACTACCTCGCCCTCGAGACAAGCAAGAGTAACCGCGACTACTGGAACGTGAGTGACACACCCATAGGCGTGTCTTGCACAGCTAATCCTCCCAGTCCCTCAAAGCAATCTGCAAAGACATGCGCCGCAAATCCAAGTCGTCCAAGTCCGAAGCACGCGGCACCGGCTCCGTGGCTGCTGACATCGACCAGCTCCTCGCCCCTAAAACGTTCGAACAGCTTGAGACACTCGAGGTGCAGGTCAAGAAGAAGCTCGACTCGGACGAGCCCATCGACTATGACTACTGGGAGCAACTGCTGCGAAGCTTGCGCGTGTGGAAGGCCAAAGCGAGGCTGCGTCGTGTCTCGCAGGAGATCGTCAGGGAGCGCCTACAGACGTTGCGCAAGCAGCAGGCTGAGGCTGCTGCGTCGGTACAAAACAGCATCTACGCTATGCTCAACGGCGCCGACGAAGCGGGCGACGCGCAACCGACGACTGTCGCCTACGATGCAGCCTTCGATCCACAACCGCTGCTGAAGTTGCGCGCAGAAGACAAAGCCCTACCACAGACTGACGAGAAAGCGTTTCTGGAGCACCTGGCAGCTGAGAGGAGGAAGATCCAAAAGATTGGCTACGTGCCCTCTCAGGCCAAATCAAGTGATGCTACTGTCAGCAGTAGTCAGCCCACAACGAGCCAGACTGTAACCACAAGCGCCTCACGATTTGCGCCCGTGGAGAAGGAGGATTACTCCAAGGCAACCATGGCACTATACGAGAGGGAAGTCGCGCGAGGCGTCGAGGAAGGCGAGGAGATATTCACCGCCGAAGAGGAAGTCACAACCGCCCGACCCCAGTGGGCTGGTAACTACAAGCCCCGGAAACCCCGCTACTTCAATCGTGTTCAGATGGGCTATGAATGGAACAAGTACAACCAGACGCACTACGATCACGACAATCCCCCGCCCAAAGTCGTACAGGGCTACAAGTTCAACATCTTCTATCCCGACCTCATCGACAAGTCAAAGGCGCCCACCTACAAGATCGAGCGGGAGAATGGCCGCAAGAAGGGCCAATCCTTTGCTCCCGCCGGTGAAGACGACACATGCCTCATCCGCTTCATCGCCGGCCCACCGTACGAAGACATCGCTTTCAGAATCATTGACAAGGAGTGGGATTATAGCGCTAAGCGCGAACGCGGCTTCAAGAGCAGCTTTGACAAGGTATGACCCAGCTTTCTCTGCCATCGCTGGCTACGTGGCTAACGCAATTCAGGGCATCCTGCAACTTCACTTCCAATTCAAGAAGGTATGTCAAGATCGCATGACCGAAACGGTATCACGACTAACGCGTGGCAGATATACTATCGAAAGTAGCTGAACCTCCTATCAATGACATGGACGATCCACAGCCTACTCCGCTACATCTGGCCCCTCCTGGATTCAGCGGCAGCGATAGGACCAAGAGTAGGGCGGACGTTACACGAGTCCCTGCGCACCTATAGGCACATCATCCGGCAGGCTATACCATCAATGCCAGGTTTTCCTTGCTGTGCCGTCACCCGTGGTCACCACTTTGGCGGTGACGTCTCAACCGACCCTTCTTCGTTCCCACGATGGAGTATCTTCATCTCCGGGACCGTTGGCGGTGTACAATCCTATTCGAGCGGTGACAGGCCTCACGCCATCGGCCAATCACAGACAATTGTTACTTTATGTGAGCTCGAGCAAGGACTACGAATGAACTTCACCGGAAGCAGGGTCGCAAAAGCTGTGTTACATGCTTCTGTAGGGTCTGCTCCCAAGCGGTTGCTCGCATCTTGCCTCTTTGCATGCGCAGCACATCATGTCACACCCCTGCGCATGCAGAACATTCGCCGTTGGCGTCCTTTTTCGAAAAGAGTTTGCACGTAAAAAACCTATTGTCTGTTCCTGAAGAGACTTGCCTCTTATGGGACGATTGCTGTAGTTCGTGAAAGGGGCCTGAACATAGATAATAAAACCTTACAATGGAGAACTGCTGCCTGACTTGAACGGGGACAAGACCTACAGTGGACCGTTTCCGTCGCATGTACAGAAGCCGGACATACACATCGAACACCGGGACATTACCGCACAGGCCGATGGACGTTTCGATGTTGCAAATGGCCCAGCAGTATGCAACTTCCCGCCTACGCTGTGTCAAGCTGGCAATCGTTGGCTGTAATGGTCGTACAGAGAGTCACTCCGAATGCCTGATGGAGTAGTGTAATGAGGGTCTGTAGGCTACGTCTCGGCCCGTGAGGCAATGATGCAATGTCGGCACTTCTGGACCCGTGACAACAGCCCTGCTGCTGCGCCCAGCGATATCTTCAGATTCTCTGTCTTTGCGATGAGATCTCATGCTTTGTTTGCCCACCCAAGCCCTGCCGCAGTATCAAGCCTGCAGGTGTGCTGGCAGCAGGAACCCGTCCAAGAAGCATCTAGGTGACAATGACATGGTTTCCAAGCAATCCCATTCGTTGGGGCATAGCGGAACATCATAATGTCTTAACGGCCGCTTCATTTGTGAGCACAGTCTCTCACTACTCTCATTTTCTGCCAGTCTTTTGGTTTCACACAGCACGTTGGCACTCGTTTCCGCGTATCCCATATCGATACGCTTATCATCTCTATTGTCCATACCTGTGAGAGGCCAACAACACGACAGCCATGCCACATACGCAGTCAACTCATCGCCCCTCTTCTACAGACACCTGTGGTGAATTTGATACTGTCCACTTATCTAAAGACGCATTTTGTGATACCGCTCACCCACCCAAAGACGCCTTGCGCACCCCGCTTCCATTTCACGTCCCAAATCCGCTATTGTCGCTCACTTCCAGACTACCCATTGAGGTCCTGACCACCGCGGCCACCGCCCAGGACATTGCACCTTCCAACGAACACACAATCACGAACTCCAGTATGAGCCTCGACGAACAAGAGTCAATGCAGTGGACTGCTCCAGCAAATTTTCTACTCGGCTCCATGATCCAAAATGCTGCTGGTTACCATGCGCCTAATCCGTTCCCACCTAGCACTGGAGACCTTTACCACTACGCCGAGAACGGCATGTCATACAACGACAACTTCAATATCACATACCCACCACAATATTCTAGCTCAAGCTGTCCACGATCGTACACCGGCATCGACCTCACCGGCCTTCCTAACGACATCGATATGACGGACTCATACCCACCAACTGCATACCACATCGAGCCACCAAAACATCATGATGCCATGGACCTGTCAGATCATGAAATCAGCGATCAGCTCATGCAGCTGAGCAACGACTATGATCATCACCAATATGGCTCTCACGTAAAGGCCGAAGATCTTAATGACTACCAGAGCCCATACTCTGACCTGACTCGAGTTTCTACCCCCCATGATGATTCCTCTCTACACCCGCATGACCTTATTGCAGGTGAAGGTGGCATTATCGATAAAGAGCAACCGTATGCCCAACTGATCTACCAGGCGCTGCTCAATGCGCCGAATAAGACGATGATACTGCGTGATATCTACGAATGGTTCAAGAACAACACCGACAAAGCCAGTGCCTCGGAAACAAAAGGATGGCAGAACAGTATCAGGCACAATCTATCAATGAACGGGGTATGTCTGTCTCTCATCCACAACACTGAGCGACCTAATAGAATACTAGGCCTTTGAGAAAGTTGACCAACCAGGCGAAGAATCCCGCAAAGGTTTCATGTGGCGTCTTACCGATGAGGCGATTCGCGAAGGTGTCAAGTCAACGACACGCTACCGCAGTAAGCAGCCCAACAAACGTGGTCACCGTACCCAACAACCGCAGCCGCAGCGCCAGGCCTCGGGGGCTAAAGGTGGTCAAGCTGCTCGTCGTTCAGCAAGGATGAAGCGCTCGGGCCGCATGCAGGATACATATCGCAACGATCAATACATCTCACGTTCCGTGCCCGCAGCATTCGATCCGTCCTACCACGGTCCAGACTCCTCGATATCCTACCCACCTTCTCCGTACTACGGAAGCGAAGTGGACTTTGGCTACGCCTCCAGAAATGACGACTTTGGTAGCGTCCCTGTACTCGGACATGCTCATCTTAATCTCTTTTCGCCAGCAAGGTCGTACACAGGGAGTCCTATATCGCAAGGCATGCCAATCACGGACACAGCTTATGTACTTGATCAGAGTCCGACTGAGAGCCTGTTTACAAACAGCCCTAGTCCTAGCACTGACGAGCCGCAAACACCTGTGGACCAAGGCTGGCAGGAAGATGTAGGAATGGGTCCGCCGTGTGTGTTTGATGATCAGCATGGTTACCGACCATATGCCGGTTGACCCGCTGTTGATCAAGAGATGTTGGCGTGTCAGTCAGTCGGACTTAGCCGAGATGCTCCCTATCGTCTTCTGCAATGTATTTTGGCTTTTTGAGATTGTGCATCTGTGCTATTTTAGGGCGAACTGGCGTTAGGTGCATAGTATATGCTAAAGTAGAGTCTAATGCATATCGAGCATGCCTTGTATCGTTCGCATAGCGATCTCGGAGAGTCACCTTCGTGAGATATCCTCGACCGTTCAAATAGCATCAGGCTTTGTCAGTAGCATTTCAACAACGGAGTTTACCTCTTCCTATACTGTTCTGTTCGACTGAGTTATCTTCCTGTTAACGATTAGTTTTTGCAAGTCTCACTTTTCCTTCCTCCAGCCAAACAACAATTCGATGCATGAGACCATACCACAGGACTTTGTCTTATATATCAGAACGTAGCACCCAAAGGTTGCATGTCGAGTATGCGGGATGCACGCTGACCGACATACATATAGACGTCGTATACAAGCTGACCATCCCTGGGATTACACAAAAGTGCTTAATCGACACCTGGAGCGATAAATCGTGAAGACGGTTGTGATATCTTACCGGCCTCAGGTCTTCGTGGTATCAGTAATGCAAATGAATTGCTAAGCTTTCGGGTCGGAACGAAAAGAGTGCTCTTGGCTCAAGCCGCTTCTTGGGTTCTGGCGCCCGTCACGAAAGTTTCATGTTGTGAGCAGGATTAGTATTGTGTCTTTTGGCGTAATTTCGGTTCGATATCAGGACGGAGCCGGAACGCAGAGGATATCAAATGACCGAAACACGTCCGCATATCATCGTTGCTGCCAACGTTATCTTCATAATGGAGGCGGTCGCGCTGCGAATTTGACAAAGCCTAGAAGTTCCAAGCAGACCCTGCCGAGCTTCTTTTGGCCGGTCGTTCCGCGGCAATACATTCAACCGCCACGAGGATGCATGTTGTTCGAAGAACGTAGCCGTTGACGCGTAGACCGTCTTTTGGAAGCTGCCGTGGGGCGACAGGTCCGGAATCTGGGGTAGCAGAAACTCCACCAATCCGAGGAGCCAAGCGCCCAGGCGTGTGGGGAAAGCTTCGCTCGTCTTGGCTTAGCGCCACAGTCTTGCTCCAATTAGCCACTGTGGCCGTGAGGGGACCCCAGGATGACCCAGCAAAATTCCCAAAGTTCCTCCGCGCCTCCAATCTTACGGGAGCGCATATCATGGTCAGGAACCGGGGCCAAGGCCGCGGCTCGGACGGCTGGTAATACTACGATGAGGGTATATTAGACTGGCCGTCGTCGCGATAGTTTTGGAGATACAGACGTTGACCTCAATCTTGTCAATTAATACCGTCGGCCCCTGAACGTCTGCCAAGATGCGTGTCAACGAACTCCTCACATACGCTTTGCTGCAAGCATCAGCAGTACTATCGACACCTCTCGATGAGCGAAGCGTGAGCGTTGCTGCTTCCAAGAGGCCACACCATCCCGCGTATCCGTACCACCCAAAGAAGGCGTGTCCAGTCTCACCGCCACGAACCAAGACCTGCAGCGTCAAGGCTCTCGGCAACGGTAAAGACGATTCTGCCAACATCTTGGCTGCTATTAAGAAGTGCAACAATGGCGGGCACGTCGTTTTCCCCAAGGACCAGAAGTTCACCATCGGAACCGCGCTGGATTTGACCTTCCTCAACGGTATTGATCTTGGTATGTAAGACCCTGGACTTGTTGGTCGTTCAGCGCTTACCACCAGAACAGACATCCAAGGATCTATTCAATTCACCAACGACACGGATTATTGGCAAGCCAATGCTTTTAAGCAAGTGTTCCAAAATGCCACCACCTTCTTCCAGCTCGGTGGCAAGGACATCAACGTTTACGGAGGTGGTACCCTCGATGGTAATGGTCAGGCTTGGTACGATCTCTATGCCAAGGACATCTACATCCTACGACCTATTCTCTTCGGTCTTATTGGTGCTGAAGGTGCCGTGATCTCGGATCTGAAGTTCAGATACAGCCCGCAGTGGTACACATTGGTTGCCAACTCAAGTGACGTTGTCTTTGATAACATCGACATCTTTGGCGGTAGTGTCAGCAAGAACCCCGCGAAGAACACTGACGGCTGGGACACGTACCGTTCCGACAACATTGTCATCCAAAACTCACACATCGACAACGGCGACGACTGTGTCTCGTTCAAGCCTAACAGCACCAACATCGTTGTTCAGAACCTTGTCTGCAACGGTAGCCACGGCATCAGCGTAGGCTCTTTGGGCCAGTACCCTGGCGAGGTCGACTACGTTGAGAACGTCTACGTGTACAACATTAGCATGTCCAATGCTTCAGACGGTGCGCGTATCAAGGTCTGGCCCGGCGCTGCCTCCGCTCTCTCTGGTGATCTGCAGGGTGGTGGCGGTGGTGGTGCAGTCAAGAACATCACATACGACGGCATGACCATCTCCAACGTCGACTACGCTATTGAGATTACTCAATGCTATGGCCAAAAGAATCTGACTCTTTGCAACCAGGTAAGTGAAAATATGGCGGCTTGCTTGTACTATGGTTCTAACGCGAAATAACAGTTCCCATCCAACCTCACCATCTCCGACATTACTGTCAAGAACTTCCATGGTACTACCAGCAAGAAGTACGACCCGTTAGTTGGATACCTTGTCTGCTCCAGCCCAACAGTATGCTCCAACATCAACATTGAGAACGTCAATGTCACCAGCCCAAGTGGAACCAACCAGTACACTTGCGCGAACATCGATGGCATTGGGAGCCAGGTCAACTGCACCACCAACGGAACCAAGGGAGGTGAATCGTAAGCGTTTGTCATTGTTAGAACGTAGATAGATACAGCAATTCGAATATGTCGCTGGAAGAACCTGCTCACTTCGTTGATGGCGTGCATGGATATATGATCGCTACACTTATCAATGGAAGCTTTTAGTGCTTCTCTTCCAATCAGCCCGCTTCTAATGGCTTCTGCCAGAACCGGGTCAGGGAATATTCGTCTTGACCACAATGTTAGAATTTTGAGGGGTTGGTCAGAGGACGTATCGATGTATTGAACAGATGGCTGGTACAGAGACCAGTAAACATCAGCGGTATATGTTGCGCTGTACTGACATCACGGTCGTAAAGGCAGCCACTCCTAAAGCGCAGCAAGAACGTGTTAGAGCCTCAAGCATATGCCTTCGCTCCGTGCTAAATGTGTGCTGAGGTTCATTTGTCCTCACAGAGGAAGCTGCAGTGACAGAATGCGGTATGATGACGTAATGGAAAAAGTATACTGTGTTCCACTAGTAAGCTGCGCACCCCAGTAAGCTGCGCACCCCACCAAATCCTTACAACTCTATCTGCGCCAACAACCATGACTCAACAACCACGGCCTAAGGTGACATCTCGTAAAGGTAGACTAAGTCTCGCGATAGTCTCCTATTAGAATAAACTATGCTAATTAATCTAAGCCCTCGCAAGAGCGTATAACGTACTAGAATCTACTCTCCGGACGCGTCTCCGTGGTGTCCACCCGCGATTAGAGATAGTCTCTGTTAACTAAAAGCTATCAACTACTAAAGAGCAGTCTCTCGTGCAGTAGATCCTAGACCTTAATTGACAAGGCTTTCTACCCTATATTATTAATGTACAACGCATGGCAGACGCTCTACTCGCAGCCCGCGGCTAAGATCCACCTCCTCCACCTGTAGGCAAGAACTAGGTGTCGCGCTTTGTTAACAGCTAGTCTGAGCTTCAGACTAAGTAGAACAGGAAGGTCTATAGCTAGCGCGCTCTCTGTAAGGATCCTGTCGCAATCTCAGCATAGTTTAACCTAGTAGAGGAGACGCACTAGGCCTATAGGATACTAGACACAGACACGTACAACTTTAATAAGACTAGCTTTATAATAGGCGTCGCAGCGACGTCTAAGGTAGTTACTAGCTCTAACACTGTAGGTCGGGCAGCTACAGTACAACTAGGGAACAGAGACTAGGTCACAACAATCAAGTGTATTAACGCGTCTGGCTAGTGTCTTCTACTGTTTGTGATCCTGTCTAGTAAGCAGCACTAGGCTAGCTGGTACTACTATATCCCTATAGACTAGGTGCTCGCTGTATTAGACAACGGCTGGACAACAGATAAGCTTAGCGTAGAGTAGGTAAATGTAACGAGGGCTCGAGACACACGTCCCTCGAAGGAACAGAGTACGCGCTAAACCTGCTTATAAGGCGCGCCTCGCTCTACAGAGCGAGGTAAGGATTATTCTCTTCATAACCTACACCTGTAGTCTGAATACACGAGCTATCTCCCACTATCTTTAGTAACGTGAAGCAAGCACTATTGCCTACAGTTACGCCTCACATAATAATCCTTCCCTCGGCCGATAGTCAGGAGATGGCTCCTTCTACTCGATCAGGGCAACATGCCCGCTCTCAGAGCAGAGATTCGGACCAAGTCCTTCTATCACGCACCCCAAGCGCTGAGCCCATACCT